GTTTCAATGTATAAATTTATAAACAATTACGTATACTATAACTGATGTGATTATCTGAAACTTTACAATGTTTTAAGCAATGTTTTGTGATCTATCTGCTCTTAAACTAAATTCTAAAGCCCAAATTAGAATTTTTAGATCTGTTTGTCCACAAGGTGATGAAAACGTTGTCATGTCCTCATATCTGTGAAGGTGTGTGTGGAATTTCCCAGAAATGTGTGAATCTGTGAAGGCCCTTCATTTGTAATAATTTTCTATAAATGAAAAGATCATCACCTCAGCTTGAAGGATCGCTTGTAGGTATGCACAACCAATGCCACATAGTGTACAGACAAGTCCCAGTTTGTTCAGCAATCTTACGCCACAGATTAAATGAGGAGCAGGGAACAGGGTTAGAGCCCAACAATCACCACCTCTCCTCCCTGACACTGAGGAGAATTTGAGAGCTGTCTGGGAATTCTGTCCAGAATGAATGAATGAATGAATGAATGAATGAATGAATGAATAGTAGCGTGGGGTTAAGGAAGTGAGCAGAAGCACGAGGAGGGAAACAATGATGATTGTTAACTTACTAACAGATGAAGACGCCTGTTCCTGTTTAAACAGAGTACAGCTGTTTAAGATAACTGGAGTTGGGTGTGTGTGTCTGACTAAGCAGGGTACAAAACATAATGCAGAAAAAAGAACTTAAACCACTGTCTCATCGCCATGTCAGCACTCCCGTCCTTTCTCTCCATCATACAGCCTACCTCAGGCTCTTCTCATCCTCCGTCTTTTAAGATTTGGCCTTTCTACTCACTTCTTCCTTCCAGGCCACTTAGGATTTGTCTGGCAGACTGCCCTACCTCGCATTGCACACAAACTAAATGTAAACACACACACACACACACACACACTACAAATGAAAAAAAATCATGTGCAAGCCATATTCTCTCCCATTTTAACTAATAAACCGTGTATCTGACCTAACACCCTCCTTATCTGCCTGCTTATTTACCCTCTTCACTGCAATCACTTTTGCTATTTTTAGCCCATTGTGTTTGGAATGAAGTGATGACGGAAGAAAACCATGCCTTTAAACACAGGAAGGGGAAGGCATACATTTCAGGAAGGCAAGAAAGAGACCAGATTTGCAATAAGGGAAGAGTGTTTTGTGCTTGGTAACCGTTGACTTTCAGAAACCATAAGCACCTTAGAGGTGTCTCAATCTTAGGCTGGAAATCAAAGACAGTTTTAATATAGTGCTCATAAGAAAAGCGCGATCATAATACAAACTGAGTATGTCACACGTAAAACATCTGCAACACATGATGTCTATAACTGAACAAAGACTGACTGTTCCTGTTGCTGCCATTATCCTTAAAACATTGGATGCCATCTACCGCAAATGCCATATGATCATTACCCAAGACATTTATCCCACTCACCGCTGTGAGTTATATGAAAAGGTTGGATGGTTATCACTTCTGGGAGACGTCAATATACCTGGGTTTTAAAAAAGTTGCCATGACACTTAAGATCCTTTGTCAAGTTCAAAGTGAACAACCAAAGTTAAAGTTTCTTTTAAATGTTCCCCAGTGGTAAGGTGCAGTCCAGTAGCACTACTGGAATGAACTCCAAAGTGAAGTTAGAGACACTAAGACCTCTGTTGGATTCTTCTTACTGATACATTAAGAATATTTGTGACTGTTCTCATTGGTGTCCGATAACTGTTTTGTGAGAGTGGCTCATCTGGTGATCCGTAAGAGATCTTGATCATTGTGAGATTTTTCTGAATTAATAAAAGGCTTAACTAACTATGCCTGAAGAGGAAAGGCACTAGCATTAAACATGGGAAGGTTTTGAAAGCAACTTGTAGCAGCTTAATGTGGTGATGGTGGTATAGAGCTTTTCTCCTTATATAAGGTTGACAATAAACAAGGAGGCTAATGCATGTTTGTCATCGGGAGGGTGTCTGTGTAGATTGTGCAGTCTTTATCAAGTTTGTCTATTCACTGTGAAACGTGACATTGAAACTATGCCTCTCTGATCTGCTTCTCCCTGCTACCCACTAATAATTTTTTTACTGTGCACAACACGTACATTTTCGTTCCTCTTCTACCATTTATATGGTGAACACAAACATGAGGCATCATCAAGAGACAATGCTCTGCTAAGCTTAAACTGCAACAATGTAGTGATAACAAATCGCAAAAGAAAGCATCTCTCTACATTGCTACATCAAATTTATGTCTCATCCCAATCTAAAGCCCCAACATTGTTATTCATATTTATCCTGTTGGTCAATATTGTTAAGGTCTACTTGAGACATAACCACGGAGATATCAGAGTGCAGTCTCTCACTAGGGAATAGGGCAGGCTCTGACAGAGAAGTACACACTCTGGAGAGTCATTCAACATGGAGTGTTTGGACAGCTGACTGGCACAGCTCTCATTCACAGCAGTCAAGCAACTAGGAACAAGACAGGCTGTCGGAAGCAAAGAGTTGGGCAAGAAAACAAAAATAAAAACTTTGCCCAGGATTACCTCTCTACCCCAATACGCCATGACACAAACACCAATGGTGTCTTTATAGGCTACAATAATTGAATCATACAACACAGTCATGAGCATAAATACAAATATGTTTTCCATGTACAACTACGAGAAAAGGTTCTGATATTTTTCTCTTTTAGAATGACTCAATGCCGGAGGCCAAGTCAATTTTAAACACCCACGCTAGGCAGCATCAAGAGGAGAAGCCATCTGTAACTGCAGGGAGAAATGATAGGGGACATGAAAGAGGCTCATATGTTTACGAAAAAGAAAGAAAAAATGGTATTAAAACATCTCATGTTAAGACAAGAAACAGCACAAACACATAGAGGCAGGGAGACAGCGCAACACATGGTACATGAATAAAGCTTGTGATGTTGAGGTAGGTAAAGCCCACACTTGAAAGCAATACCGTGTCCTGGGATTATTATATGGAAATACGCGCTGACAATATAACTGATACGCTAATAAATATTCAGTTTCGGGTATCTTTAAGTAACACAGCCATTTCCTGCAAGCATGTAAATGTACATGTGAGTATATAATATTTGAATTGGGGGCTTTGGAAGACGTGATCAGTGTCTACTGTATCTCTTTTGTTTGCCCCCTTCCCCCAGCTAGGATTACTTAAGTGTTAAATTTGATTTCGGTCACAAAAAGAAACAAAACAGCCAAGCAATGTGCACAAAGAATGAGAGCTATTTGTGTTGCTTGCCCTCACATAAATTAAAGTTGCCCAGAGTTTATGGTATAAATCAATACTCAAGCTTTCATTATAAGGCCAAAAAGAGCTCTTTATTACTGCTCACACCTGGCTTGCCCCCAGAACATAAACATTTGTCACATTTTGTAGTCTAAACTAAAATCAACCCTCGATTAAACAAACAGGCTTGCTATTTTCAATATGTTATAAAAATAAAAATTTATAAAAAGAGCATCTTTAACAACACAAAAGGCAGCATTTGCAGTTTTATTTTTGGAGATACTGGCTACAATTGTTGGCCATTTAATAATGGCCAGCATTTTACTCTGGAAGCTTCTGTTCTGTGTTCTGTTGTAGTGACTGACTTGCAGTCTTACTGTATTTGCAGCATGTTTGACAACACATTTGACAGCATGCGACCAAAGGAAATAATGTTCCTCCTTTTATGGTGTTTTGTCTATTTGTTTCAGTTTGCACTGAAACAAACTGCGTTGACCTCTCTCTGCCACTGTACAGGCCAGCCCATTTGCTTTTAGATCATAGGCCTTTTAGACATTCAGCCATTCAGAAATTTCAACATGTCAAAATAGGAGCAGCACATGTGTAAATAAGAAAATGAATGACGGCTGAATGTCATTTTTGCTTCAGCTCCTGGTATTGTGCACTGTCACATTATTATGGCTTACTGAGACTTCAGTACAACGAAGCCATCATTAATGTTGATAGTAACATGACAAGTCAACATCTCTGCTGTGAACATGGCCTACTGAGTGTCCTTGAATAGGATGTTTAGGATATTAGGACAAAAAGTCCTCTAAATCCTTAAATATATCACAATTCGGGGTCAAAATGCATGTCAAATGGGCACACACTATCACATTTGTGTATTTTCCTACACAACTGTGAAGTGCAGAAAAAAGGGTACTTGTTTCTAACTTATAGAAAACTACTAACCAGTAAAATTGAACAGAAGGGTTTGCTATCAAGATCCCTATTCTGACTACAGACCTACTGAACTATCAACAGGTGCACAAGACAGAACAGAGGGCATTTTGACTTGACCTTTGCTTATCACACACTCACTTTTATCAAGCCATGGGCCAATCTCTGCTTGCACTCAGTGGACATGTAGAGGGAAAATACTTAATCAACCTCAACAATAATCACAACATGAAGGCCTTGGCCTGGAATTTATCTAAAGGCTGCAATTGTTTACACCCAGTTGATAAGTCACTAAGGCCCATAACCCTCCCCACGCAGGTTAGGTCACGCCTAGCATGTAAACACTCAACACTTACATACAATAGAAACTCAAACACACTTGTGTAATGAGCCTGAGTCCACATGTTTGACAGGACATGTAAAAAATATGGGTAATGGTAAAAGACTTTGGCATTGAATGACATTATTATGAAGAGATGTTGCAAACTGTGCTGCCAGAGCTTTAAACTGATGAGGGCATACTAAATTATCCCTAACTGACTGAGGTTGATGAGGTAAATATTACAACAGGTAACCCTTGCATAATGTACTTTACACCACGATTGTGTGAGGTATGACACGTTGCCCCTAAATACCATTCTGCTGAACAGAATCCTGGATTCCAGGTGAACGGGTAACACCTGCTGTACATTCTTCTGGACCCACGTCAGCTTGATGTCTGCCAATCTGTTAACCAGGCCTTACTAAAATCGCTTCTTGTAAATGCCAATTACAGCATGTATTTGTGTGGTAGCCATTATGACAGGGGTGCTTAACCTACCTTTGCCATTCTGCCACGCTGTGTACCAGGACAGGCTGAGGAAAGACGTGAAGAAAATAATCGCAGTGGCCACAGTTCCATTTCTGAGCCTCATCTCATTTCAGCGATGCCTCTCCTCGGCTGACTGTCGGGGACCCCGGAGCTGCCGTCGCCTCCCTCCCTCCGTCTCTCTCCGCCTTCAGGATGTTGACACGGGCGTAGGCGCAGGCATATGGGGGCGTCAAATGGTTAAAAAAAAAACGCTCCAATTAACAGGACTGTGAGCACGGACCTCTGCACTGGGAGGAGGGGTGGGGGGTGCTCGGATGTATCCTCAGAGTCGGTGCGTCTGCTCTTGTCGTTGTTCGGAGGGCTCCTCCTGTACCGTCCTGGAGCGATCAGTCACGAGTCAACTGCTTTTCGTGACAAAACGACTTACATGGTCGGTTAAGAGGCTAGCTGCCGATATAACCCATTGTAATTTTCGCAGCCAGTCGTTGGCTACAAGTTAACAAGTAGAAAGCATTTCGCGTGTGACGGCTGATCCTCTGGGATAGGCTGATCTTCCTCTGACGGGGTCCGAAAGGCTACGCCTCAAATTCCGCTTCGACTGGCAACAGATGAATAAAAAATACAAGCAGCGTGTTGCTAACTACCCGAGCTTCGTCTTATATCTTCAACCTAGTCACTAAGTTTTACCTGCCATGCTAGCCAGTCGACCTGTCGACTGCGACCACTGCGACACAGTCTGTGTTAGCTACTTAGCTGCCGAGCTAACATTAAGTTGAAACTCCGCTGGTAACCACCGCCGGGGTCCGTCAACCTGCTTATTACCAAAACAAAAGCAGAGGAGACCACGACTTTTGTTGCTGTTGGTCCGGGAAAATTTCACGCCTAAAGGCCGTCCATTTCAGTTAATGCCCATCCGAAAACGAACTAACGGCTACAAACTGATTTAAAAAATCTGCATTTAACGCTTTCTGTAAACTAAGTAGCATTCACATGGCAGCATGTACGAGCAAGTCTTCCGGTAACAACTTTCAAAATAAGGCAATTATAGTCTGGAAAGTCGATTCAGTCAGGGCTGAATAACGGACCGGGCCCGACAAGCCCTAGATTTACTCCATATAATTAATGTCTACTTAATTTGATTAATCAGTAATTTATCAGACGGATTCCCCACCCTCAATGACCAAAATCTGGATTTAGAACTTTATTTTCATATCTAAATATATTGTTATTGTTATATATTAATATTGAACTCATATGATGTAAAGTTGTTATTAAATTGCTTTAGTTTTTTCTGTTTCAAATAGCCTAACAGAAAATGTGGCGCAAGACTGTATAATTCCATCAAAACGGTTTTACATTAAATTTAATGCCTAATTCGTAAAACGTTTAAAACGAATCAACAAAAATACTGAAAACAAACACCACAACTGCAAAAGGCTGACCAATGCTGAAAAAACTGTCCCATGGTTGAGATCTGTCTTGTGACCTCTGCCATAAAGTGACCAACTTGTGATCCACTAAGCTGAAGTGGCTTTTCACGCTACAAGCAGAAAGCACGCCATCTAGTGGCCTTGTTTTCAGCTGCTTTAATGTAGATGTAATCTGTATGCATTATCTGTTCCATCAAATGTCTCCATACAGCACTCGATAATTAGATACGCCCTTTAACATCAAAAAACGTCTTCACATTTGATGATAAAATTTCATGTTTAAATGTCAATTGTGGGGGCCATTTCTGATATAAAAAAATGTGGAGTGAGTGGAGACTATTTAGTCAAAATAAAAAAATCATTTCTTATTCCATTCACACTGTCTTGTTTTTATCTTGCACTATGCATGACTGTAGAACCAGTCTCCAATAAGCATTACATTTTGCAATTATGCATCAGACAAGCTGTGTGTGCACAGTATCAGAGCATAACGCTAATTTAATTAAAGTTCATTCTTGACCTTGAAAACAGCAGCTGACAAAACAATCTCACCTCAAAGTCCATTTAGTTAACAGCTCTAAGGCCTTTGATCATTATCACATGATTCTTACCTGCAGATGAATTTGCCAGTTGAACAAGGTGCTACAAAACCTTTGCACATCTAAAATTCCATCCGCTAATGAAGGTAATGTGATATGATTGAAAGCCAGCAACGGCTGCTAAATGGACCTTGAGAAGAAATTTTTTTTTTGTTATTTTTTGGGCATTTTTGCCTTTATTCTGATAGGACAGTGAGAGATAGACAGGAAGGTCAGGGGGGGAGAGAGAGAGAAGGCATGACATGGGGTCGGACTCAAACCCAGGTGCTAACATTCATTTATTTTTCAAAACAACGCACATAGTTTGATGCAAACCCATAAAATAGTAATCAATGTTTAAAAAGAATACATTAAATGGCAGAATGTTCTATACCAGCTGTGATGACTGTGAACACTGAATTTAATAAGCTTACTGACTTAAAATACATTCACTCACCAAACACAGGAAACCGAGTTGAGTGGCAAAAGAGAAAAAGTGGGTGTGAAGAATATTCACTTTCAAAGTGTTAAAATAGCAAAAATAAGTGAAAACAATGTTAAAAATATTCTTTGAACATTGCTGCTTTGCGAACTGTCACGCCTTATTAGAGTGATGTGCGTCCTGTAGACAGCTGAACCAATCTGTTTCTGTAGGCTGACGTGATGCCGAGGGAGGGGTATTCTCAGAAGGGTGTAGCTTTAAAGTAGTCCTCCAATGGAATGAGGGATGTGCCGCCAATCCAGTCCTGCAGCCAGACCTGGATCAATTCCAGCTTCATAAAGAACCACTTGTGCCCCACTGGCCACTTTGCCATCACAGGATGTCTACAAAAACAACAGCAACACATGATCATACTGCACATGTGCCAAATCTCTTTGTTTTTCCTCAGTTTTACCTTGAGAACATGGCCTCCTTTGCAAATGCAAGCTCCTCTGGGGCCACCTCCACCATCTTCCCTGTTAGTGTGAGTCGAGCACATCTTGGATCCTCTGGATCATACACCATTTGCCTTGAGACAAAGAAGACCATGTTACCATTGTAACACGCACACACACACGCATACTTTTTCCCAGCCTTCCAGAAACTCAGCCATAATTCAATAAATTCTTGAACTAGCCACACAAAGTGGGAAACTGTCCAGGACACCACAGGCTCCAGACTGTATGTAAATGGATCTGTACTGATTATATTGGGAATTTGTTTGAAAATAAGAACTACTAGAATCCTGCAGCCAGTGGGTCCTTCATTACCTAATGTTGAGGCTGTGCGTTAAGACAGGCCAATCTTAAGTTAGTTCATTTTAAGACCTTCATTATTTAAATTTTATGCTTTGTTATTCAAATAATTTGTGTATAATCAAATTACCATACAGCAAACCTTGAGCCAAGGTAGTATTTCCTGCCTCCAGTGTGGGAAGAACTGGGACTTAATGGGGGCCAGCAGTTCATTTTTAGTAAATTAATGTGGCCATGACTTCAGTGGAGCTTACCTGCAGAACTCCCCCTCTGCTTCTGAGAAGGTGAGAGAAGCATAGGGGTTACTTTTCAGGTCTGACACAGTGTTGTCCATTGGAGTCACATAGAAGTAGATAACTCCAGTGCTGTTGTCCAGTGGTCCATCACTGACTGAGAAGATGTTCCCAAAGGGGAGACCTTTGATCTGTGCAACAAGCATGATGTTACCAAAACACCTGGTTTCACAGCAAATTCAGCAATGAAGATGTAGAGATGGATACTGTGTGTTTCTGTGTTAATAATAAAATAAAAGCAGCGCATTGCATTATATTATCATACACAGGGTAGTGGGGGAAAAATGTGGTTACCTGAAGTGCCAATGATGAAATATAAACAGAATTTAATGACGGAGGAGTAAATAACACTTTAGGCCATTGTAGAGACCCTGTTTTTAAATAAAAAATATCATTGAAGTGACTTGAATAAATTAAAATGGAGAAGTATCCAAATAATGGAAAAGTTTCAGGTGTTTTCAAAATCTGTGGGTGGAGGGTACTTCTAAAATGACTGCTACAACTATGACTAAAAGGAAAATCTTTCACACATACAAATATCTGGTAGGGTAAGACCAGTAGTGTTGTACAGAACATGAACGCTAATATCAGTTATAATAAGGGAGAGGAATCAACATGAGCATTTGTATCATTCCTGTTGTTCTGTATGAAAATAAAATAAAATAATAAATAACCATTAACATTCTTTTTGGTTTCTGGTTAAAATTTTGAGAGTGCTGGGATGTGCCTTTGGGGGGTTCGTGACCTCAGTATTTCTAAAATCCTACCAACAATTTTTCACCATAATAGATTCACTGATAAAATAATCAACATATTAATCTGTAATGAAAATAATAATTGCAGCCCTAGACCTCGGGATGATTTCATAAGTGCATTTAATGATTGTAAATACACATTTTTGTTGTTTGGTAGCTAAATTTTGAAAAACAACATAGTTAGACACAAGTCTTTATCCTCATATTTCTGGCATAGGGTGGGATTTACAGTGTTTGCATATATTGATTAAACTTTATTTCCCAACATAAAGTGTCCTATTTCGGAGGCTTCACCACTCTGCCAAGTCCAAAAATATCAATCTCAGCTTATAAATTACTCATGTGTAAATTTTCAAATGTAAGTTTCTCAAAAAAGAATCACAAAAAATACCTAGGATGTGGCGTCAGTGTAAAATTAAGAAATAAAATGTTAAATGTTGTGATTTTTTCAATTACTTGCTGTACAATTGGTAATCACTGAACCAAAGCTACCAGTGAGGACACTGATGTCATGACCTCAGTATTCATTATAGGAATTTTAAAGGTTTACATTCTACAATTTAAGAAAACTACTATGAGTATTTTATACACTTTATCCATTACTTTTTAACTTAAAGCATTTGACTATATATATATATACATAAATATTAGAATATAAATGTGTGGGGTCTTCAGGGGCTTTCTTAATTTTGTTGTGGTACAAGTCACAACTTTCTCATTCTCACTGACACATGTTGGTCTTCCATAAAGCCCAGTATAACTCCACACAACTCCAATCATAAGTGTAACCAGCCACATAAATGAAAACACTGAGTCAGTGTGCAGGGCCTTAACTCAATAATAATGCATCATATTTTGTGCATACATGTAAAAGTAACTATAGACACATGTAGTGTACAATATTCCCTTCAGTGTAAGTGTGAAGATGCATGCATTGGGAATAATCAAGTAGCTTAAAAAATTTTCTTACTTGAGTAAATGTACTTTGCTTTCCACCACTCGACCTCAGTATTTCTAAAACCTATGCTGCTGTCCTGGCTCTGCTGAGGTTCCCTCAGTGTTTGGTTCACTGACAGAAGATTTTGAGGATTGTTCCTTACCTACACTTGTTTAAAATACTGAAATGCAATGACTTCACTTACACATACATTAGGATGTCCCAGCCCAGAGGAAACCTATATATTAGTGTGTGTTACCTTGTCTTGGGTTGAAATGGTGGACAGATGTCCCCAGTCACTGTAATGAGCTATGTATCTAGCAGTCCTGGCGGTCTCCTGGTGCGGGGGAGGAGAGCTGCTGGCGGACTTCTTCACCTTCTCCAGCCGATATGAAAACAAACGTGAGGACAGCTGCGCCACATTGTCGTTTTCGGGCTTGACCAGCTCTCCGGGGCTCTCCACGCTGTCTCCGAGGACGTTGGAGGACGGATAAGCCTGCTTCCACAGCCCCGCGCTGTCCACCAGCAACGCCGGGGCGACCTCCTCCGATAGGTCCGCGTCCTCCACTACATCGTTGGAGGACACGACCCAGGACACCGAGCTCCTCAACGTGTAGCTTTGACACAGACACAGCACATTGGCAAATACTGCCAGGGGAAAGTAGCAGGCCTTCATATCATGGAGCTCGGGGAATGGCCGCGTTCATCCACTCACTCTCTTGTTTACAAACTCACGTGTATGTGCTTTCGTAACACGAGGAGATTTTTGTAAGATAGAGGGCATGTCTACACCGACCCCTACTGACAAACCAGGGAAATTGATCTTGTAATTAACCCACTGAGGCATTTATGACGTAAAACATACAGATTTTTATATCTGCAAAAAAAAGTAGTTGGTAGAACTTTTTTAAACACGTCGTGCATATTGTTTTGACTTATACGCCATTAGATTTTAGAGATAAATATTGCACTTTCTCTACCCCACTACATTTCACATCTATGGCTACTTACCTTATAAAAAATAAAAAATAAAAAAGTCCAACAGCAATGTTTTGCATTGAAGATGTTATTTAAATCATGGGCCCCATAATACTTTGAAAAAACACACACACACAGGTATTTATTAATTACTCTATAAAATGTAATGAACACCAGTGTTGTATTCTTCAAAGGGCATTTTAAATAAAAAGGGATAAATCATAGAAAGAAAATAATTGTCAGTTTGCAGATGATGTTACCAAACCTATGATATGCTTAGAAAGTATCAGGACCCTCCAGTGGATACATTTTCACACTTTTTCGTGAAATACTGGATACTATAACCTATTGTCTGATTAGCCCTCTGAAAAAACAAACTGTTCACCACTCATTTCCCTGTTATGGCCAAACCATCTCCAGCCCAAACAGGTGCAGAAGTGGCTGACTGAAGGAGACTGCTAGCGACAGCAATCAGGTGCACTCTGTCCACACTCGCACACTGCTGAGGGGAGGCTTAATCTAATCAGGGAAAATAAGTGGGAACACCTGTGGGTGAACCAGGGCTGTGTAGGGTCGTTACATGGCCTTTTTCACAGCACACATTTTGAATTGTCATAGTAGGAAAAGCACAGGTGTTGCTATCAACATTAATGATGGCTCTGTTCTACTCAAGTGTCCCATGACAGTGTGACAGTGAGCCATGAACCAAAGCAGGTAACTGGATGTCAGCTATCATTCGTTTTAGCATTTACACCTGTGCTTTTCCTACTGTGTCGTGTCAAATTGACTGCTGTGAAAAAGTACACCAAATTAGTTTGCAAATTGATTTCCTATTATATATTTGTACATCACTGCAGAGTGGAACCGTTATCAGACATTCTTGCAATGAAGGTTTGAAAAAGGCTCCAATTAGTTAAAATTTTTCTTTTTCCACATTCACTCGTTATTGCTTCATTTCAACTAGTTAAGCGTTGTTTTAGGTCATTTCTGGTGTTATTAAGGCAGTATAATGTGTATATTGTACTGGGCTCCTGGGGCTTAGCCATGTTACATAAAGGGACTTAACAAGTGACAAAAAAAGTTTAAAATTATTTTTTTTATTCTTTAACATAAAGTATTAACAGCAGTGAAATGCTGAATCAGATACAACATTATTCAGAAATACCCTTTATCTTAAAGTGGTTGTAGTGGAGAGGGATTATAGTGAACCTTTCAACATATACTCTCTCTCCATCTTCCAGTATAACATTAACACTTTACAATTAAATACAATTCAACACATCAGCTTTACTACATAAATTACCAAAGAGTTGTATCAACATCAGTCTCACCAAACATCCAACTCATTAACCTTGATAAAGGTCTGCAGTGCTGTTCATATTCTTGTTTGCATACCCTGTATATCTGTCTGTTTTCCTTCTTAGTCCATGGTCTTGTCGCTCCAGGCCATTGATTTCCTCTTCGCCAGTTCCATCCAGGATGGCTGGCCACTCTCAGACATGGACTGCAGCACTGATGGCTGTGTGGGTGACGATGAGGGCGATGAAGATGCCATGTTTTTCCGGAGCCATTTGTCCTCTCGTGGCCTGTCTGGAACTTTGGTGGGGCTTGACTCTGAAGAAAAAAAAAATGTGTCAAATTGCTGCAGATGGAGATGCTGAATACCTATAAATATTTTTACAGGTGTCATTATGAGTAATATACTGTATGTCAACACACCTGCAAGTTTTACCCCTTGCCTTCCTTCTGGTTTCGTGTCTTTGCTTAGAGGTGTGGTTTTGGCCAAGGCAGGGGATTCAGCTGATGTCTGCACTTCTGTTTGAGCTTTCTTCAATTCCCCCTAAGAAAAACTGAGAGTTAGATCATCTACTCAGGATAGATCGTCAGTCCAAAAACCTTGAAGTTAAATGATAAATCTTGCAATATTCTATATTTATATTTAATTAAATGTCAAAAATCCAATAAAAAGACATAAACCAAGCATTCTATGTGTAGACAAAGCCTGATACAGCTTATAACTCTGTGACATAGACCACCATTGTTGTCCAAAAACCTTAAAAACACATCAGTGAGCCACAACTTAGGCTGACGTATTCCTTCAGTAGGATAAACATGATTATGCATTATGGTGCCCAATAGTTAAAGGAAATTAGTTTTTAAAGAAAGATTTAAAGAGCACAGTTTCAGAGCGCTCTTGACAGGGCAGAAAGTATCGAGAGGATTTGTTGACAAGAAGAAAAATACAGTATATCACCAGACTTATCCTTAAATTAGTTTACAGTCACTCGTGGTATGAAACACGGTTACAAAGAAGCACCACAAACCCCCTTGGTTCCAGGTGGAGTGGTCCACTCTGCCCGTTTTTCCAGAACAGCGGCCTTCTCGCCCACTGACCCGGCCCAAACTGCTCGTCTTCCTGAGAGGGATGGACCCTCTGTTTCCTGCACGTTGGCTTCTCTTTCCCCTCTCCCCAAGGCAGACACTGGAGGAGGGGCTGTGGCTGATGAGGTAGTGGAAACTGGCGTCGTGGGTTTGAGCTGGTTGGTGAGGTGGAGACCTCGATTGTTCCAAGCAGGTTGTTGGGGTGCGGCATGCTGACCCGAGGAAAGGTGAGGTTGTGCAAGACACTGAGTGGCACTCCCTTGTGCAAACTGACATGAGGCCTCTGTTTGTGTAGAAGAGAGCGAGGGAGACTGTGTTGTCCGTGGGTGGGTCTGTACAGGTGGATGAGTGGGACACTGTGAGGCGGACTGAGCTGTATCTGGGTGTGACTGGGATTCACTGGTTTGTTTTGACGTTTGCGCTTCTCTTGAGGTGTTTGACAGAGCTATAGATGTCGTTGACGTCTTCTGTTGCACTGGTTTGACAGTCTGTGCTTGACTTCTACTTTGCACTGTTGATTTTACTGTATCAGCAGCCTGTACTGGTGTTGTACTCTGTTGCATTTTTACACTCTGTGTTTGCATTTGTGTACCAGTCAGTGTCTCTGCTTGATTCGTTGGCTGCACTTGTGCTTGTGGTCGAGCCACAGTCTGCACGCCTGTAAAATCTCTGGGGAATCTGCTAGTAAAGAGCTGCTGCAGGCTTCTGGTCTTTTCCATTGCTAGGCTCATCCAGGACACCTCAGATGAGGCTGTTTGAGGGACAGGTTGGGGCTCCTGAAGCACCGTGAGGGAAGTTTCTACTTCTCTCGCCTCTGACGAGGTTGCTTGGACTTCTGCAGGCGTGATGTGAGCTTCGCCAGTAGATGGGAGGTTATTCTTGACTGGAAGGGAGAAGCCAGACGGGGTTGGATCTAAGGAGGCAAACAAATCTGTTAGACACGCTTGGCAGCATGGTTAAAGTTAGCCTGGGTGGTATTTTAATGAGTACAAAGGTCCCATGTGATCAGTAAAAACCTTATCACTGTGGAGATTATTTTCTATGTATAACTTATCTCCTTTCACATATAAAGTTGGTATTGGTGCAATGTTTAACCTTACATGGGATTGAAAAATATGGCTGCTAAACCTTGGCTTGTAGCACAGTATGGACTAAACAAATATTATTTGTGTCATTAAGTGAACCTAAGATTAAACATGGTGAAGTTAAAAAGATTTCTCAGAAACTCACCTGTCACTTGGACATCTCCAGAGGTGGATGGCGTACAAGAGAAGTTTGATGGCAGCTTTTTAGACATGTAGCCAACATTATCACTTATTTCCTGTCTTTTCTGTTTGTCACATTGGTCTTCACACACTGCTGGCTTAGAAAGATGGTTCGAAGCAGCATCAGCCCGAAATCTCATCGACTGAGATGTTGAGCGTAATTTAACACCGAACGCCGTCTTTCCCTCTTCCTCCTGGACCTCCTGTGCTTCCACTGCCTCTTCCACCTCCTCCTGGCTGCTGTCCACCTCCTCCCTCTCTACGGTGCCTGTATCTGTAGCCGTGTTTTTAGATGCTGTCGCCAATTCTGTCCTTTTGAGGCTGTCTCTCCTGTCCCATGGAAGTACTGAGCTTTTGGGTGGAGCTCCCTCTTGTTTCGGTCTTCCCACAGAAAATGGGCTCCCTCTGGGTTGTAAGTCTCTAAATTCCTCCTTTTCCCTCGAGCTTGAAAAGGGTTTGTCCTCTGTTCCCCCTGTAGTCTTGTGCCTGGCATCAGCTTGTTCCAGCATTCCCGCAAAACTGCCCGATCGGGGTCTCTCTCCATCTCGGTTTTTGGCAGTGTTGATGGAGAAATGGAAGGACCCAGATCCTGGGGCAGGTCTCTTTATTCCTCTTGTGCTCTCTATCTCACCTTGAACCTGCTGGTGAACAGAGGAAGGCCTGAATGCCACCACTGAGCCGAAGATAGTGGAGAGCGGATCTGAGGAGTCTTCAGTCATTCCAGCCTTTTTTAGAGTATTCCTCTTGTCGTGGGACATTACTTGTATCTCGAAATCCCTCTCCCTTTTGTTTTTAAGTTCTGACTCTATAAAGGATGAATGCGGTCGTTCACTAGATATTACATCCACTGGTCTTTGAGGCTTAACCCGAAGAATGTGTGAGGATACAGAGGACCCTCTCCCGGGAGGAGCGTGGTCCTGTTGGGAAAAAGTTAGACTGGATGATTTGGGTGCTGCTTCTGATGTGATATGTGTCAACTCTGGGGATTTTGAAGGAAGGCGCTGAGCTGTGATAGAAATGTCAACCTCTTCTTGTTCTGTCTCCAGTGTCACCTCGTCTTGAGCACCAAGTCGCTGCTCTTCTTCTTTCACATAATCAGGGTGGTCGATGTTGTTCAGGGTGTTGGAATGAGACCTGGAATCAGTCTGCCAAGAAAAAAAAAAGAAGATTGGTTAGAAAAGTGAAGGAGTTGTGCTTTGCTTGTTTGACAGATGGTAGGTACGGTCACTCACTGCAGCGGGTCTCTTCTTGGTGCTGGCCCTCTGGTTTCTGGGCTTCACAGACATCCGGTGGCGAGCAGCAGAGGTATCTAAGCAGGGGGTGAACTGAGCTGGAGAACTGAAGTCCAACGGGGGCTCGATAACAGAGGAAATGGAGGGGACAGTAAGAGGTAATGGATGGGATGGAGTCGGGGGCACATACTTGGCTAGTGCAGGTTTGGGGATGGGTGAGAGTGGACGAGAGAATGGCTGGTATAAAAAAAAAAAGAAAAAGAAATCAAGAAAATCATCAGCAATATTATTAAGACAGTATTAAGATGGTCTTTCATTCCTGAAGACCAAAGCCTAACCTGACTCTGTCCTACCTGACCTCAAAAGGGTTATCTTTAAGTTTGATCAGTGATTGATGCTTGACCAGAGCTTCGGCCATCATTGCACTTATGAGACAAAAGGTTATAATACACCCTCGGAGCAGCGCTACGTCTTCAGGGCAGTTGGGAGGCTACAGTGAGTCACTATCAGAAAGTGACAAGACGGGAAGGAGCTAGCTGGTTAGCATGCTAACTTCAGTAGAAGAAAAGATGTGATAGAGACAAGAGTTAACGTTGGCGTTGCTTCCACCAATGGAGACGGCTCTTGGTGAGTAAAGGAATGAAGTTTGATGCTGAATTCACAACGTTTCTTCTAGACTGGCAAGTAAACAGCTGTTGATGCTAACACTGGTTATGTAGCAATAGCAAAACTTACAAATAACTCCTTTAAAGGATAAGGCTGACTATTATTTATATTTTTCAAACTGTCAACAAATCCCATGAAAAAACAGACAATGAACTCATCCTACAACAAGCCCAAAATGTCTTATTCCTTGGTGTATTTTTTATTTTATGTAACTATATATTTTGACCTGTTTTTAAATATTTACAGCTCCAGTAGGAAAGACTGGGATTGGAGCTGAAGTGTGACCCTTTTTTTAAAGGGTTTATCAGCAATAAAAGAAAATATAATTCCCTCCTTGCAAGATTCTGGATCTTCATAACTTAAGACATATTGTATAAGAACAGAAATGCAAAGACACACATAGATACACATACAGATGTGATCACTGCCGAGCAGACACAGGCATGTTGTTGCTAGACTATGTCTGTGGCTCCGAGCAGCAGTGTGACATTTTGATAGAGTAATGTTAATGTCAATAATGATTGGTGAAAAGTAGAGCTAATTTATTGAGGCTATGCATCTACGAAGAGCGTGATTGATTAATCCATTCAGACGCTACACTCAAAATCATAAAAGCATCCCCTCAAGTTCTCCTAAAAGAACTTGGACCGATTAACCATGCAGATAACTGAACATGTATCACTAAGGTGAGATGATTAATCACCTTGGTGAAGGCTCCCTGGGATGTAACATCACCTCCTGAGACCTCAGGGGGGCTGTGCAGAAGACTGTCATCCTCTGAGCGACTTCCCAGGTCCTCTGGACGTCTGATTGGCACAACAAGAGGTGGCGGTCCCAAATGCATCTTCTGCTGCTGAAGCTTCATCTGTGATACCAGAGCACAGGTGTTTAAAAAAAAAAAAAGATATATTTAAATGCCCACTTCTCAACAAAATACCTCAAATAAGAGACTGTACCTGCAGAGCTTTGATCTTGCTGTGAACATTCTCCTGGGATAAGACCCTGGCTGGTTCAGTGTCTGTCAGGACCTGATCAGCCAGAAAGATGCTGTCATGGGACAATGCTCGTGATCCCATCGTCCCCTGGGAGCATCTGAGGCAGCAGGAGGGGAAAAACACAGACACAGGGTGAAGGATGAGACTAGAAGTATGGACAGAAAATGGAGCGGTAAAGCAAACATTTACAAGATTTGCTATCATATAGACACTCACACCAAATCTTCATCTGATCCGAGTCCCTTTCCTGCAGTAATGTCGCTGGCAGACTGACTGATTTTGGCGTCTCCCTCTCCACCTGTTCTCTTATTCCTCCCGAAGAGACGAGTTTTCAGAGATTTGAGTTTGGATTTTTTGCGTCCTAACAGAGATGGTGATGGAGAAGATCCAGGTCACAGCAGCTCACACACACACACACACACACACACACACACACACACACACACACACACACACACACAAACACACAGACAGAACTCACATAATCTTGTCTCTACATCCTATAAATGATCTATCTAATTGTTACATCCAACATGCATATGTATGCTGACAAAGTCTTTTACTTTGATGGCTCATTTTTGTCAATGTGTTGCTTGCTCTTCACCATAATTCTCTTATGTAAAACTTCATGATGGATAACCTCACCTGGAATATCTTCAGTGCTTTCCTCTATATCTCCAGAGAAAGACTCCATTGGTCTGATCCCTAGAGGAAGTAGCACAGCAGACGACAGGATATGTATGTGTGAAGAACAGCACTGATAATGAGAAGCAACTGTGATAATATAAACCCCAGGCCTACAGTTTTTAGAGGCCGTCGTCACATGGTGAAGGGCGTCTAATGAGGTGTGACTACTCCAGTTGCATGTTCTCTGTACACTTACTACACTGGTGTGATAGCTTGAAGATCTGGCAAACGACTTGAGGTTCAAAGGTTTATTGACATTATCAGGAACAGTACAAACCTTGACTGCAGCTTGGTGGGGTGTGGTTAGAAAACTTATGTCTTTGTGATCCAACAAAATAAAATCAAAGAAGTTTTTACAAGCGCACAAATTTCAGCAGAAAAGACATTCAGTGCAGTGTCATCAAGTAAAAACACACTATGTAGGTTACAGAGGAGGTATCAGGATTTCTAACATGACATTGCACAGTGCAGCCTGGATAACTTTAAAATGATATTTTGTGAGCAAAGCAAAAACTAAAGTCTTGCTCTCAGGCAGCTTTACTTATGCAACAGTTGCCTGACAAACATCCGGATTGGGTTGATGTGTTACTGGATGCAAGATTCAGTGCAGGGAGCTGGTTTCCTTTATTTTATTGACTCTATTTTGCACCCTGCCCTGGAGATATTGCTCTATTCGAGATATGCATACAACATTTTCTATGTTTCATCCAGTTTTCTCTGTGTACCTAAGGAACTGGTGTCAACAGAGCTTGATTCTGTACGGCATGGTTGCCTGATAAAAGACAAGATGTGTCAGGTTATGGACACGGAATGAAAGACCACACTGCACCTCTCATATCACTCAACAGGCTCTCAGGCTCTTGAAAAAGATATAAGCACAGAAATGCAGCAAGGCACTCCAAAAAAGTTGCACGTGATGTCACATTTGACTTACGTAACATTTAAACCGCTTGTCCTACAAATAAATTTCAACTTGTTAGTAGAATTACCACCACAGAGCATGAAACTAAAGTGTTCATGAATCAGGCCGTTCCCCAGACCTTTGCCATCCAGTGAGCCAAGCTATAGCCCCGGCAGAAACAGAGGATAATCTCTTGGATTATTGGCATTGCAGAGAGATCCTTGTAAGATTTCACAGCACCATAATCTGCAACAACAGCTTAATCACGGTACTGCAGCACAAAATTCACCTGACATCCACGAGAAAAGTACTTCTCCTTCTCAATGTGAGAAGCCGTCAAACACACACACACACACACACACACACACACACACACACACACACACACACGCAGACACATTCACACACTATGGAGAAGAAAATAAATGAGTAAATTTACCCAACGTCTAACAGCAGCAGCTCTGCTTCTCTTCCTCCTGTTTTCCGTCCTCTCTTCGCTGAGTTGTCTTGTCTCGGTTGTGTCACTGTCCTAATGTTTAAACCTCAGGCTTGTGTCGTGCACATCTGCAGATAGAGGGAGATGCAGAGGGGAAGGAAGCGAGGGAAGTGGAAGGAGAAAGAAAAACAGGGGAGAGAGAGAGAGAGAGAGAGAGAGAGAGAGAGAGAGAGAGAGAGAGAGAGAAGGTCACTTTATGACAGGGTAAGCAAATGCACAAAGAGAAAAGAGGACAGAAGAGAATGAGAGAGAGAGAGAGAGAGAGAGAGAGAGAGAGAGAGAGAGGGAGAGAGAGAGAGAGATACTCTATTACATTAGTGGCACACTGTGGCCCTTTGCGCTAAGCTCCTTATAAAACGCTAACCTGATTTTAGGCCCAGAAATGAGAGTAGAGGGAAAAAAATAAAGCTCCAGTTGGAAAGAGGACAAGCATACAGGAATTACAGCTCATAGAACTGTTTACATATTACACTGAGTTGCCTACGGCACTGTATGTATGTATGATCACAGAGGGGAGACTATGCATGTGTGTGCGCAAATATGTGTCTTGGAAAGTTAAATCTATATGTATATAAATTAACACCAACAAGGGATTAGCCATCTCCCAGCCTTGGTGAACCAGACACTGGAGATAAAATAATATTTAATAATATTCGACAGTAGTTTTAGAGAAATGTGAGTAAATACATGAATTTTGCATTTGTGTGTCCACACATCACTATGTACTTTTGTATGAATAAAATGGACACAATAGATCATTTTCAAAGATTCTTCCAGTTTGCTGTCCTGGTGGCCTTTTGGTTCAGGTCTATACCAAAAAACTACAGTTCCCCTGGTTTGATTCTAGCTGGGGGACCTATGTGACATCTTCCCTCTCTATTTCTCTATATCTCTACTGTCACAGTCAACAAATATCAAAATACAATCCTAAAATAGGAAAAAAAAAAAAAAAAAAAGAGACAAAGATATCTCCCGCACATATCATCAGGGAAATGATTTCAGTGCTGCAGCAGTGAATCCAACTTTCTGCACATTCTCGCAGTATTCAGAGATGGAAACACTATCTAGGCCACTGGGCTACAATCAGAGAGAGGGAGGGCAGCGGGAAATGGAAAGCAAACCTTTGCATCCACACTTTTGTGTCTGGATGTGTGGCCAAGCAGCTTCTCTCACGAGGCTCCTCGTCACACAAATCCTCATCTGTTAGAATATACACCGGTGACATCTGGATTACATGCAACAAACCACACGCAGCATGTCACCAGACCACAGTGACATAAGAGTCTAGGCTGCGGTTTTACCTAATTCCTTCCATTCATGGATTTATTGTCTATCATCTACACATAAAGGACAATATGCATGGAAGCATATCTAGCGTATAAGGAGAATGCAGCTGATAGAAGAGCCGTCTGTGCATGCTGAAATACACAGCTCTGACTGTCCCCTGTAATACAGTCTTTGTCTTCTCAGCTCAAGGAAAACAGAGGAACTTGTTACAGTTATGATGGTCTCTGGTTCGTGTGATTTCCTGATGGATTATAATTTATTCCTCTCAGAGCCCGGATGAGGACTGTGCATATCGAGATTAAGGCCGATAGATAATCCGATCGCAGCAATGTTTGAACTCACCAGGGTTACCATTCATTCAAACAAACAATTCCCATGAATATTTAATGAGGGGATATTTTGCCATGAATGTTTCTTTTGGGAAATATATTTTTGTTTTTAAATTTTTATTGGATTCATTTTGGACTCATGCTTTTTGACTTTTCCCATACATGTCAAATCTACAGAGCTATAGGTTCTCATTACATTATATGTAGTATATTTTACCCATTAACCAGATGTCAGTTTGTGGGCTTTTCATGAACACTAGGAATCCAAAAGTCATGTTATCTGTTAATATATAATCTACACTTTTCAAACGAGTTGACTGCCAACTACCACAGAGGAGTTTAACCCTTTTGAAGCAGTGTGCTTAAAGCCAGCAGCAGCAGAAACTGTTGTGTAAAGGCAGGACAGAATAAAAATAATAGTTGTATATTAGGTATAACTAATAAAGCTGCAGCTGCACTGAGGTTTTGTGGAGTTTGGGTAAAATTCAGTGAAAGACTGGGAACATGCACACTTCAAGCAATGTGAAGGTGAAGTCCATTACTGCTCACAATAAAGGAAAGTTAAGTAGAAAGTGGAAAACATCTACGGTTGCATCCATTACAAATCAATGTACGGATGAAGACCATGTGATGTGGTCAAAAGCTTCGGAGCAGGCAAGTAAATCGACCTGGAGTTGAGATTCTTTTGTAAATTAGGAATAGAAGTTTGACAAAAAAATAAATAAAACAATGTAAATCTAAATTCAAGGTCCACTTACTAAGAACATACAACTGTATACCATAGCTATGTGTACCAAGACACCCAAATCTGACTATACCGAGTTAAATACAGTTTTTAATCAGGCTGCAAGACTTTTTTATTGTTACATTTTTGTATGAATGTATTTATTTTGAGCTGTATATTTTGAATGTGACACACTGAATATGAAGTAAACGGATAAGCTTTAAAGATGGTGAAAATTCAGAGAGTCACACAAAGACATTTTATATTATAAAAGCAGTTTTAATATAAACAAATGAATAATCTTTCCACCAGATGGCAGTATCACACCCTAAAAGGCACCTTCACATAATTACAGAAGAGATGTATAGAAAGACAAACAGGTCATAGAAAAGAGTCTTTAAAAGTGTGGAGAAAAACCCCCATTAGAAATACTGAATATCTCATTATACAGTTTGTTGTTATTTAGACATAGTATTGTGACAACAAGCGTGTTTTAACAGCTTTGTCAAAGAATGCTCGATTACACAATTGTTATGAGGCCGATCATATGCATAAGTGAAGGCGAATCCATCAGCCCAGCAGATATATATATATATACTGTATACCCTTGAAGGCAGGTAAGTGAATGAAGTCCTTTGGAGAAGAGTTAGAAGTGGAGTTAGAAAAAAGGTAAATCAAGCTTCAGGAGTCTCATAGTGTTTTTGTGTGTTTGGTGTGAAAAATGTCTACAGTGGTCTCCTGGCACTGCCTGAGGTCATAGTCACAATATCCAATGGAGAATCGGCCCTGTGGGACGTAATGGACACTTTTCACCAGCAGAACTGAACATGTTGATTCTCAGACATCCAAAACCACAAATTTGAACTATGGCGTCCATTACAGGACTGATTATTATGAGGTATGAAAACTCACCTTTGGTCTCTTAAAATAATCCAGCCCCCTTCCTATCTTTATGATCCAACCATTGTCAAACCTAAAAAACAAAATTAAGCCACATTTATGGAAAAGGAGTGCTAATGTGAAACTAACACGATATAGTATATCATAATAAGGATTTTTCTTTCAAAAAATATCCCACCGTTTGAAAAAATAATTAGGATATAAGGTATGCTGTTTCATTGTGAAAGTCTGCATACTATATGTCTATGTAGCTGCTGTAAATGAAGAAAATATGCTGCCGTACCTAATCTCCCTGTCATGGATGGTGGAGGAGAACTGCAGATCCAGAGTCACTCCCTGGTTACTGAGACTTTCTTTCAGCTCGGCCAAAGCGCTGCTCTGTTGGCTGCTGTCTGCCTGCAGGACAAGACGAAGGCAGTGAAACAAAAGAATAACCTGACCTGGAGAGACTGATGTGGTTGCTATGCATTCATTACATGGTGTGACCTCCTTAGTTAAATAACCTACTTCATCCTGCGAAGTGAGGAGATGAATCCTTTTCACCTTGCAGGAGGCTTTCAGCAACATCTCACAGAACCGCACTAAGTTGTATAACTGTGGTGGAGAGAGGGGGTGAGGGGCATGTTTGATAATGAATTGAATTTGGTAATGTTTTATGCTGAGGATAAAACTCTAACTGTAAAGCTATTTATCATCAAAACAAGGTGCAAAGAGAGATCATGCAAAAAGAATATAAGTTCATGTTCTTACTATGTGAAGGTTAAAAGCATAGGTAATGAAATCACACAGTGCTGATCAATTAATCAGTTAGTAGTTAGTCAATTAACTGAAAATGAATATATAAAAATAAACAGTAGTCACAGTCCTTGAAGTCAAACAAAAGGCAAATCAATCTTGCAACGAAGAGGAATAAAACTCTCAAAGTAAAACTGTGATGAAAATAAAGATCTTACCTGGTGGGTGTGTCGTATGTATGGGTCCTCCACCCAGACCTCTGTGAGTGCACTGCTGATGTATGGCTTGAACAGAGCCTCATAGCTATGACCAGTAGCATCCTCTGATATTCTAATCTGCTCGTGATACTTCCCATCTGACAGGCAGGAGAAACAAAATAAAAATCAGAGGTGGAACAGGCAACAGTCTCACCCCTGACGCATACATCCACACATTCTCTCATCCATCACCAATCATTTTTAAACTGACCCGGGGTTTTTTTGTAAATCAGCAAGTTTGTGATTAAACACAAAATTGTTGAACAACATGCACCATTGCATAATATCAACTGACATAATAAAGGAATTAAAACCAGATTTTGCCTCAGGGCCTCAATACTTTGGAAATATGTACTACTAAAGTACATTATCAACTTAAACATCAGGGGACCTAAGGCGGGTCCCGCAGTATGACCTTGTTGTGTGTTCCTTCTGGCGGGGCTCCGTGTCAATATTTACATGGTTTGCAATCATTTTGGGGAAAAATATGCTCTGATCTACGGGTAGTGTGTGGCATGAAAGTCAAATTCCACAGGCACTCAAGTAGATGGTTATAAATAAGAAGCATATAATAAATATGGACTACTAAATTATAACCATCCTCAGGGACACACCCTGAGGAAGGCAGATTTAACATATTTAAAGTGTTTTATTTTTACCTTTTTACCTATTTTTATCTATATATTTCCTCTTTTTTAAAATGAATTCCCTCCTCCAAGAGCATCAGTACGGGACACCAGAAGCTGTCCTATCATATTTCTTTTTTTTTTTTACCTGAATAAATTTGTGTTAAACCAAGGAACCCAAGGCTGGTTGTCCTGTTTAAGGCAGCTGCCCACTTTTCCTAATTGATAATCGAGCTTTCAGTGGTGGTGGTGGTGATAGCTACCTTCTTTCATCTGGCTGACATGAGCTTTTATTTGCTCCGCTCTGTCCATGTAGCCCTTTATCTTCTCTCTGTAATGCCCTCTCTTTGAGTCATCCTTCACAGCTGCTGGCAGGAGAAAGAAAACAAGAAACAGTGATGGTCCATGTCTTCATTTATTTTCACACTGCTGTATCTATGTATGCCAGAGGAAGACAGAGACCTTTCAGCACGTCCATGAGCAGCTGGATGCCCTCCTGGTAGCAGACTAGAGACTCCTGGAAGCGGCTGCTGTGATCCAGCTCCACCGCCCGCTTCAGGACGGATATAGCGGACGTCTCCATCCCTGACACATGATTTTGTGCCATTGTTCTGTCAACTACTGGTTTTTATTAGATTCTAAAAAACCAACAATGTAGTCATGCTTAAATAGTACCAGGAAGAAATGACTTGTCTTGTCAGCTACACAAGTGCGCCACAAAAATAACTCCCGGAGAAACGTAATGCTGCATAAATGGTATGGGAGTTACACGGGTACATTTTCAACAATAACACACAGCGGAAGTACCTTTATTTTACTTAATTTTTTATAAAATCTAAATAGCATATTTTATCTTTCTAAACTCTCAAATAAAGTTTCTAGGAACGTTGTTCAAGTAATATTTGTAATATCGGTGCATTTTCACAGTAACTCTACGACACTTCCGGTCAGCTACACAAGTGTGCCACAAAAATAACTCCCAGGGAAACATAACATTGCATAAATGATGTATAGGAGATAAATGGGTACATTTTCAACAAAAACATACAGCGGGAGTCGATAAATCTTACTTTTATCTAATCAAAATAGTACACTCTTGTTTTTAAAAAAATTAGAATAGTTTGTAGGAACGTTGTTTCTAAACTCTCAAATAAAGTTTCTAGGAACGTTGTTCCAGTAATATTTGTCATATCGGTGCATTTTCACAGTAACTCCGCCACATTTCCGGTGACCTAACGTGAACAAACTGTTTCACCGTTGTCTTCAGCTCCTGAATTAACATTGTACGTGTGAACTCAGTGCATTTGATATGGATGTAGTTACATCTTTATGTTTGTTTCATAACGTTTAGTTAAGTTTGATCCATACGCTTTAGTTTGAGGTTGGGGGGGCCGTAACCTTGGCGTGCATGCCTGTAACATCAGCGCTATTGTAGAAGAAGTGGTGGACCCAAAAGAAAACATGACTGGTGCCTTTCAGGGTTTGACCTCCTTATCAACCAAGGTAAGAACATCACTCTTTATTTTTCATGTTTCATGTTTCAAACTTGAATCAGCCAATACTACTACCGATACTTTTCACAGTATTTATAAATCAGTACTTCACTGTTGTTACTGTGCAGGCATTTGGAGTGTAATCTATTATTATACTGGTGCTTACTTGTTTTTGAGACTGTCCACTACCTCATGAACCCAGAGATATTAAAGTGATAGCCACCACAATATCTTATGGTTGACAAATTCATATTGTCTTGCAGTTTGTCCTATCATATGGCCCAAACCTACAGGATATTGCATTTATGTTCCTCATTATTAGAGAGCAAAGCTGCTTTTAACTCATCACTGTTTGTGTATGTTTACAGATCCTGACAGAAGCTACACTTTTACCATGCCCATGGTTTGTGTCTGCACGCAGCAAGTTTTCCAAAGCAAGAATCCCCAAAGAGGTAAGAGTTCAGGGAACATCTCCAGGTTTACTGTATGTCAGTTAATGGCACATAGGTAGGGTAGAATTCCAGCAAGGTTCAGGCCCTATAAACAGTGCACAGAGGACAGGAGGCGTGGGGGCACTATTATATGATTATTTCCCTAGGACCTGGACAGATTAATGAGCTGGACAGATTAATCTGGCCAGCCATGGCAATAATGATGTTCCCTTGTTCTGCACATCTGAACAATTTAATCATTACTTGCGCTCATTTGCTCCGTTGTCAGTATTCAAAGTCTGTGTTTTTATTTGCAGATTTTTGTTGAGAGATCAAAAGAACATGAGAAGTATGGAGGGGATCCGGACCAACCTCATAAACTGCATATAGTGACTCGAGTCAAAAGTGTAATGCGAAGACCATACTGGGAGAAAGACATGGTGAAACACCTGGGGCTTGAAAAGGTAAGGCATTTGTTCTGTCAAAGCCAACAACAAATTAACTTGCCTCTTGTGAAGTGCTTTAAAGTTTAAACAAAATAATTGGACATTGGGTAAGTGTGCTATAATGAAATGCATTTTCAGGCATGTTTTAGCTTTAAAGATTATAGACTAAGATTAAGACTATAACGCAAAAGCACTTACTAGTCCACCGTGAACTTTTGGTCATGAAATTTTCCCCCAAAAATCTTTTTGCTAGTGGCAGAAGTGCATTTAGCAGCCTGATTATGCACAGTGCCTTAAACTTGCATGTAGAGTGAAGAAACGGCTTTCATCAAGATAGAGGAGCAGTATAGAAGGATTCTCCCTGAAATTGTTAACATTGATTGTATCACCTCAAACTGATCTGCCCACTATAGAGGCAGCAAGAACATTTATTATAGTATTTATTTTCTAGAGGCAACATTTTATTGAACTTGTAACACTCACAGTCTTGGATTTTTTTTTTTTACACTTTGCTCTCTTTGTGTTGTGTTTAGGCACATGTCCCTGTAATTCACAAAAATACACCAGCGGTCAACAGCCAGCTGAAATTTGTCAAGCACCTGGTGAGGTAAGACTATTGCACCAAAGGGTGTAACACACCTTCTTTTGAATCATCAAAACGTGCAGTGACAGAAAATCGAATTATTTGAGTTACACATGAGGATTTATCTTTTTTAGAACATTCAGCAAATTCTTATTAAAAGTATTTGTCTGGTTTTTGAAGGGACACATAAGATTGTCTGGATAATTTCCTGCCCTTCTGTCGTGTCTTTCCTCGTTCCTTCAGGATACAGCCGCTGAAGACTCCCTATGGACTCCCTGCTGAGCAGGACATGGCCGACACCTACATTAACAGCAACGGAGAGCTGATTGTCCGTCGTCTACTCCAACCTGTAGACCCCAAGGCTATCGAATCTTAGCCTCACTCTCAATAAATTAACAATTCAGTTGTAAATAAATATCATGGAAATGACCCTGTGCTCCATATCTAGCAGTTCTGATTCCACTACTTGAAGGTAGCTGTATGCAATGTGTTTTGAGTTCTTGGACTAATGATTAAAATGAGAAATGTTGTCATCACACTCTATAACAAGTCCCTCAGCGAACTAGTGGTCTGTCTCATGAAGCAGGAATGAAGATTACTAGTTTTTCTGAATAATTTTGCTGAGTAAAAAAAATGTGTTTCAGGTTTGAATGTGCTCTGGATTTACTCACTAGTTATCCAGGCAAGTTTGTTTATTTTGTCTATCAGTAAATGCATTTAAATACCAACCTATCAACCATACATACAGCTGTTACAACTGTAAACTGTAATCTGTTTTCCATCACAATTCAGATTCACACTGCCTTAGATTCTTCATTAAACACGACATATACGTACCCATCATAAAGACCTTTTGAAATGAAATACAGCCTGTATCCTTTTTACTTGTTTTTTTGTGAAGAACAGTTTAAAGGCCACTCACACTAAGGGTCCGATGGAAGTGAAGTGTTTCTGGAGATCTTTCACCCCCATCCATAAATACATTAAAACTTTTCCAGCTATGAGAAGCTCCTCCATTTCCCTTTGTGTATTGTAGGAGAATAGTCTCCCATCAACAGTACACTCAACATCAAGGGTTTCTTTGTCTGCATTCTGTCTTTGTCACTTTTTCCAGTGTAAACACACATCATACTCAAAACCTGCTCAGAATGAACATGTATGGATTCAGGACACAGCTTGAGAGGTGTGTGTACAGACTGTCTTTGACTGACAAAACCCTCACTGTCCTGTTGCACCTTGTGAGGCAGGACAACTTATATCTTTCTGATTCTTCACGTTGAGTTTGTTGTCCTCACACAGCCCACTCAACTTTAATCTAAGAGCAATACTTAAATCTATAGAAGAGCAAAACAAAATCAAAGGAGCATCAAAGGACCTTTTATACTTTTTATTAAGTCTGCATTAGGTTAAGTCACACTCTTGCTACAAGGAAACGTCGTGTGAAAATGTAATCTGATGCTAAAAGATGATCTTGGCACTCACATGCATCATGGTTTCTGTTCAAACATCAGACTCACACAGTCACAAGGAAACATGAAATAAACAGAAATACCTAAATGAGCACGCCTGTAATTCAAGACAAATTTTAGGATTTTAGCCAATAAAGAGACAAAATCAAGAATACAAAAAAAAAGCTAAGAGCTAGTTGATGACCTGAGCAGTGGCTCAGTGAAACATATCTTCCACAATTTGATGTATAATGTCTCTTTTGAAGTGCATGTACAGACAGGTAACAAATGAAAAGGAAAAAGCTGACTAAGTACAGACACATAACAAATGCAGATGCTTCCACACAGGTTCACTGCATGGTACATCCAGTCATGTGGCAGGTATATAAAAGCCAGGCCTGAATAGTTGACCCCTACAGTGAGTGGATGCGGAGGCTCCGTTATGCCCTGGGGGGGGGGCATTTTGCTGGCATGGTTTGGTTCTACTTGTCTCCTTAGAGAAGAGGTCAGCAAACTTTAGTGAGAGCGGTAAATCTTTAATTTTCTTTACTATCTCATACCATATCTCAACCATCCAGAGGGCAAGAGGGGTCACTGATTTGATCAGTATGAATGATATGCATGATATGCAAAATGATATGCATCATATACTGTGGCCTTCGCAGTCACTAGATCTCAACCCAATGAACAACTATGGGAGATTTTGGACCGACATGTTAAGACAGCGCTCACCATATGTAGGAAGAATAGTGTTCATCCCTCCAGTAGAGCACCATAGATGTGTAGAATCAATGCCGAGGAGCACTGACGCTGTTGTGGCAGCACTTGGTGGCCCAACACCTTACTAAGACACTTCATGTTGGGTTTTCCTTTCATTTTTCACCTGTCTATATGCCGTTATGTAGTTATTCAAATATAAAACATGGCATACCATCCATTAAATAAGGCTGAAACTAAAACTTTATACTTTCATAAAATAATTTGATTTAAAATATGGAAATTTGTAATGAATCAGTTAGTCTGTGAGAGAAAGGGAGGAGGAAAATTAAAGCGGGCTGTCTGCTTGACTTTTTTTTTTTTTTAATGAGGTAGCCCTGAGAGAGAAAACCAGGCGACTGTCAGCACTTTTCAGTCATCTCCAGAATCTGAATCTGAGTCGTAGCCTCCCCCTCTGATGGTTTTCTTCTCCACTTTTGTAAACTTTGTGCCCGATCTCTGCGTCACTGTGGGTGGCTCCATCGGGTTACCACTGGGACAGGAGAAAAAGGGTAGTGTCGAAATTAGTGTAGAGTAACAGTATTGTTTTAAACAGCACCTGCTGTATAGGCCTTAAAAGATGAAGGAGGGAGTCTGTGTCTCACCTGTAGTTAATAACATCTGCACAGCCGAGTCTCCATTCAAGCATCTCTGTTGGAAACTCGTCTGTGTTTCCCAAGTCAGTGAATCCAACCACATAGTCCTTTGTTTTTCCATCTGTCAGCAAAGCCAGCGTGGGCATCACCTTGATCCGCAGCCTCTCTGTCAGAAATGGGGCCTTTTCCACGTTCAGTTTGATGAATTTGGTCTCGATATGCTTCTTTGCCAAGATAGCCAGGTGTTTGTCGAGGATCTTACATCTATACGTAAAAGAAAGAAGACGTGACAAGTTCAGAAGCCCGATGAGAACATACTGTAGCTACTAACATTCAAAAACAAAGAAATTAACTTGTAGAAAATATCTAACATCAAAGAAATGTGATCATGTTAATAACAGTCAAGTAGCACAATGAAGAAAAAGTTAGTAATGTACTGACTCCTTGAAATTACATGGTTATGCATTCTTAAAAGTGATTAAGTTAAGGCTGCAAATAATTATTTTCATTACTGATTACTACTGTGAATTGACTTATCAATTGATTGACTAATCGCTAAGTTTTAATTTCTGATTGTACACCTGTCGCTTCGTCACAAAGGGTGTTCATTGTTATAAATAAATACTTGCTATGGACTCACCGGAAGGTGGAATTTCTGTAGAAGTGGCAGACAACATTCTTGCTGTCCTTGACCTCGCCGAAAAAATCTTTCTCACTTGGGATTTCTCTGTACTCCCCGTGGCCTTTAGACAGCCACTCCTTAAAAAGAGAAAACTAAGATGAGTAACAGAACAAGAGATCTCAAATAGCAGAAAAACATGCTGTACAATGGGAACATGAAGCCTCCTTTTTGGCTGATGTGAGATGTGAACAACAGCAAACCCTTTTCCCCAAGAAAATTCCACTTCGATTCCTGATGTATAGATAAGTTCCAGAGCAGGAGCTAGTCTATAAATCAGTCCAGGGTTCCCACCATGGTCCCTGTGTAAAATTTGATTACTTTTCCGAAACTTTCTGTTACAAAATTGGTTTCCATTACGTTTTTAATTGCTGTTATTCGAGACAAAAACTATTTCTAAACTCTAATAAGGATAAAAACTGATCTCCAGAAGGGCTCTGTAAAAAAGAACAGGTATAAATTTCTGTTTTCTGATGGCTGTCGCAATAACAAAAGACTTCTAAGAAATGCAATAGATTATTATCACTCCCCACAGCAGGCTTAGATATATGTGATGTCAGTGTTGCTCGTGCTGCCAGAAGTATATTAACTAAATGTCCCACATAATTTCATCTGATTTAGGTGTGTTATGCAGTAAAACAGCAACATTCACTACATCAGAGAGTGAGTATAAAACAGTTAAAAGACAACAGCCCACATACTTGCTTCTGTTTCTGGGCTTTTTTAAGTGCCTCTAATCGCCTCTCCTTCAGCCTCTCCAGATCTTCTTCATCCATTTCATTCAGTTTGGTCAACTGTGCATCCACCTGCTCCTCCACCAGCTTGGCCGACTGCTCCAAAACCTTTGCTATGATATCCATCGATTGGTTTGCCATGGTTGCCTGCTCAGTGTGAAACTCTCTCAGAACCTGAGGGGATGAAGAACAGATAAGTAAACTGACAAATAACTCCAGTTTACACTAGACCCATCTGTGACTTTGCTACTCTGTATATTAAGCTGTGATGCACTCACTACTTTGATAATTGATTTATCGTTTAGGCAACTTTTAAATTAAAAATCTCAAACATTTGCTTGTTTAAGTTTCTCATATGAGCTTTTCTTTGTCATACATGAAATATCTTTGTGTTCTGGACTGGTGGACAGACAAATTGAGCAATTTTAAGGTGTCACTTTGGGCTGTGGAAAGTCTGAATGGGTGGAAAACTCAGCCCCGGCACATAGCTCTGCTCTTCTTCATTGCGCATTTATTACACATCCACTGCACAGGACAAGAGGCAGCAGGCAAACATTTGATCATTGATTGTTTTTTTAAAAAAAGGGCAGTTATGCAGTAACAGTAACGTTCCAAGTTAATTAGGTAAACCATGCTGAAAATAAATGACAACTATAATGTTTAGTTATTGCTGAACCGGTTTTTGAGTTGTTGAGGACTGTAGTTTGTGGTGCTGTTGTACTACAAATGTGTTATCAGTGTTTATAATATTAATTCTATCCACATTCATAAAATAGTAGAAACGCAACTCTAAAATGATTAAACAAAAACACAGTAACCTTCAAGAAGGTAGAATTATTGCAGGGCTGGTGTATTAGACTGCTTTAGCTTTTGGCTAACTACGTTGAGAATTGCCTCGACATGAGCAACGCAGCATCTTATTTAGATCAGCAATTGTGTGAATGACCAGGCTTTCAACGTAAGATCCTCGGGTAATGCTACCGTCAAGTCACTGAGAAAAACGCGACGCTACAAGCTGTTAGACTGAGCAGCGACTTTCAGGCGAAGACAAAGCCATGGGGGAGACTGGGCACACCTTGTTTCTGCCGGTTGTTAGCTTCTGTATATTATGTGGTTATGGCTGTTTTTTGCGCAACTCTTCTCCTTTTGCTTTATTATGCACTACATTACACATTATGCATTACATTATTCTAACCAGTAAACCAAGAAATGTAGTTAGGTACTAACTTTCGCTGGTAACCAAGGAAAAAAATTCTAACGCCAGACGATGCTAGTTCTTATGTTAGCCTGCTCAGCTAACTAGCTCACATTAGCCCCGCGAGTGTCATAGATGTTAACGCTCCCACCGACATGGCAGGAAAATCCTTGATCATAAGAAATATCGATCTGTGGTGTTAAAATAAAAATTTGGCAACTCATAACCACGCTACCGTTAGATGATTACCTGGAGGAATTACAGGTGTCCGTTTCGTGCGCGAAATGCAAACGATTGCTCCGGATGTGACGCCACAGCAGGCCCAGCGCAACCTCAAACAAACTACATCCGGTTTTGTTACTATGACGATCAAAAATGATGGCGCGCTTAACTTCATTATTCTAAATGCAAAATTCTGTTTCCACAAACAGAAATTTGCCATATCAATTTCTAAATGTTCACCTTTTCTCTTAGTCTAGAACTAGAACTAAATTATCTACTCAAGTCACTCATTTTATTAAACAACAAAAAGAACAATAAACGTTTGGAAAATTATGAATTTTTTTTCCTTTATTACCTCTGAATGAATGTTAATATTTATGTATGTACTTATGTATCCCTGTACATTTTTTCTCCCTTTACTTTTATTTAATTTTAATTTTTACTTCCTAACATTTTAACTGTTTTTATATTTTCCTTTAAGTTAAGGTTTCTGTACAGTTGCCTTACCTGAATTACTGTATATTTCCTTTGGTCAATAAAAAAACAAAACAAAAAAAAACAACAACATCCATAACTACATAACATGACATAACTACACTTATGGCTTCAAAGAGATCTATCAATATTAGGAAGGGTTTCTTTAACTAAGGCTGAAGTGGTTTCAAGCTTTGCATACCCTGCTATTTCCCTCAATGTTCATGACTCAATGTGTAAAGACATTAATAACATATTTACAAACTCTGTGTAGAAGCACCATCATCTAAAGAAAGCAGTGCTCTCTGTATTCAGTTATGGAGGTAGCTTTGAATTACTTGACAGTGTGGACTTGAATAATACCTTTACGGTAAAATGAATAAAAAAATATTTAAAAGCACCAAACTCATTATGGCATTTCATTCAACACAACATTTTTAAAGAAGTAGGAGTCTTTCATTTTTTATTGAGATATAATTACAATATTGCAAAGTTACCAGTAAAACTATCCAAATTCTATCAACAAGCTCTCATTGTGTGTAAACTGTTATTCACATAATTTTTCTTCACACAATTCTATTATTTGGAACAATGAATGTAGCATGAAATGCATGAAACATGCAACTGGAGTCATAAAGAACTTTGTCACAGACAAGTCCCACAACAGATGGTCTAGCCACCACCGAGCCCTGATCTCAACATCATGGACACATCACTGAGACACCCTAAATCCACAGAAACACTGTGGCAAGTTCTCTGAGATGCCACGACAAGTACCTTGAAAAATTGTGCAAATGTACCCAGGAGACAAGCAAAGGGTGGTCACACCAAATACTGATTTAAGTCTTTTCATTTAACTCAAGTTAACTGATGAATAAAAACCATAAATTGCATTGTTTATGAAAGCATCCTCATTTTACTTGAAGTGCCTACAAATTTTGCACAGTATTATAGGTCCCTCACTGTCAGATCAGAAACACTTTTGATAAAGATGGACAACTATCTTTTAATATTAGACATCCTTCACTATTTGCAGTTTTTCCACCCTTTCCAGACAGGTTGCAACTTCAATAACAGACTAAGACAAATTAATTAATACAGAGTTTACAGTTTATTACCAAGATTTAGAAAACTTACAAACAAGTTCACAGCTTAAGGTCGTCAGGCACAAGCCAGTTTAGAGAAGACAAGACTGGCCAATTTTAGCTCCTGGCCATTCCCTTCTGGAAAGATATGACAGGTGAAGAGAAGCAACATCTTGAAAGTGAATGGAGACTTGCACATTATGAATTACATTCATTTCAACAAGTTAAAAAAACACAACAGCTTGATTTGGTTTGCATATAGGGATACTGTTTTAAACAAACTTTTCAAGCACACACATCATGTGTTGCGTGGTGAGATCACAAGCCAGCCAGCCAACCGCATCTGCTGAGTACTTCTGATCACCATCATCGCCGTCATAACAGTTAACGTCACAGAAATACAATGATGTAGCCACAAGCCATACATATGTCTCCAGTATGTGAAGTACACAAGATGGGTTACAGAGTTAAAAATCACACCTTCTGTTCCTATGCAAATCCAGCATTATTTTAATATTCGGATTTATGAAACCAGTGACAAACAACTGGAATACCAAGATTTTACTCCAAGTACAAAGGTTGTATGAAATATTATATTATCTTGAGGGGACATCTCACTTGTTAGTGAAAAAAAGAGATGCATAGGCTACTTATTGATTGCCATAACCCCAGGTAACATCCTCTGAAATCAGAGTGCTACTGAGAATCAACAGTGAACCTCATATGAAGTGCTTTGGCCAACTTCTGATTTCCATGTTGGAACACATACAATTAGAGTGAGAAGATTTACAATTTAAAGACGGTTACTAAGAGTTCACTACATGTAAACAATACAAGAGGTAAGCCCTCTACATACATCTTTTCTTTTAAAACTTTTAACAAGGATCTTTAAAAACATTATTTACATGTTATAATAACAGGGTTTGGCACTTTTTTGCAAGAGACAGAAAAAAATATACTACTGTATGCACCAGACTAGATTTTGTCTGTTTTTTTGTGACAGAGCAGTAGTAGATATTTCACAGGTCAGTATAAGTGGCATGGGACACCAAAGAAACAAATGAAAAATAAGATAATTTATTCCGTTTCTGAGATTATCATAGGTTTGATGTCTGAGGAGTGCAACAAGACTTAACAATTCCAAAATCACTAAAATATGCTTTTTGTTTTAACATGATGATTATGGTTACCCCTGTCATTATTTTAAACCAAGGCTGACTGAAGTGCAAAAGAATAACCTTAAAATGTGCCCATATAATGCTGTTTAATCCTTGGACAAATAGGGGAAGTCAGTTGTGATGTGAGATGGAAAATACTCACCAGGAAAATAGAAATTGAAACTCTTACAAGACCTGGTTTGGACTTGGCGTGTAAGAAATAGTGAGGAACTGCCTGCAAAATTTTTAACACAAAATTTCACATATGTGTGGAACTGAGTCTTGGCATTATCTCAAGAAGAAGTCCATATGAAAACTGATGAATTTTCAAAAAGTTGCTACAATTATCACTGGTCTGGGTTTTGATGAGTAGATTCTACGCCAAGTACTTTTCCTGCCCTTCAGTTTGTGTTACCTGTCCCTTAAAGAGCAAGTACAGAAAACAATGTACTGTACATACTCTCATCAAATACTGCCATGGGTTTTGTAACACTTTCTCATATTATGTTTCTGTAAAGTAAATAACTGGCAGATGCAGCACTGGTGTCACAATCTGGAAGGATAGAAATCATCATTTAGATGTCCTAATTTGTACTGCAGATAACCTTGTAAACATAGCAAAACAAAAAGTGGTTAAAAGGTAACACAGTGAAAACAGAATCCCTCATTCTTCATGTTACCTTCAGGGTGCTACCATAAGTCTGTTGTACAACCACCTGAACGTTGTCTAGGATGAAGTCAAAAGCCATACTCCAAACAGACTCCACCGACTGCTGCATGAGCCTGTGAAGAAAAGATCAACATGCAACGGAAGGAATAGATGAAAACAACAAAGAGGTGCACCCAGACGAGTGGAGGAGGCTAAACTGTACAGTACTTACCTTTTCATATATTTTATAATCAAATCCAACTTCTCCAGATCTTTGTCCTCAATCAGATCAGTGCAGTATTTCACCACTTGCAAGATGTCCTCCTCCATGGGTTCTAAGAAAAATGAAGCAGTGATTTAAAAAAAAAAAAAGAAAAGAAAGAAGAAGATTTCTGCAATTCCACAAACAACACAAGCCACTACACGTGCTGGCACTGTTATTGAGCCATAATTGGCTGTATACCTGTTATGGTGGTGACCCATTCCCGTAGGAGTGTTTTAATGTCCGTCAAGTCGCAGGCTCCAGCTAATGCTGGAGCAGGACGAGGAATGAATTTAGACAGAGACTCTGGGATGTCTGGTTTAGAGGAGGATGTGGAGGGACCATTTTCAATCTGGGAAGGGAAAACAAATTTAAACTGGGGAGATACTGTAGGTCAAGTTCCAAACAACCGTATATTTGTCCATCTTCATATACAGCCACCACAAAAAAGATCTTCATGTATGTATGAGACATGTATGTGTTTATTGGCTCACCTTTACCATGTTTATTGGTTCCCTTGATGTTATAAGAGGTGGTAGGGTTTTGGCAGGGCTGTTTGCTGTGTGACGCCTCTTTGTAGGGGACGGTCCTTTTTTAATTGGACTCACTGCATTTTTTCTCTTGTAGTGCCGCTTCACGCGACCAATGCCAATTCCTGCTCCTGACTGTTTTAGCTGCAGCAGTGGATTCTTCTGTTCCACTGCAGAGAAAAAAGGAGGGCAAAGATTAGGTGTAGAGAATATGCATGCTGCTGAGAGTGGAGAAAACAAAAGGCATTCCTTTGAAACTAATTCACCTGGGGACTTACACATTTTTGACTGAGGCTGTACAGTTGTTATGCGGTTATAGGCGGACTTCAGTTCTTCCTGGAGCTCTTTGGGAAGGGCAGCAAATACATCTGGATCAACCTGCAGTCAGAGAGTCAAGAGACTATGTGAAGCTGACTGTCAAGTCACAAACTATGAAGTCAGCGTTGTATATTTTGTTGAGACTATCCAATACAGCCAGCACGTGGAGGCTTTAGAGTGGGAGGACATGGTTGGGAAAATATGGACATCTGGACTGATCATTATGGTCTGCTGCCAATGTGGCCCAGACGCATACACAGAAGATGAGAATAGTTACACAGATGAATGAACCAAAGGGCTATATCATCTATTATGCTCCTTTTTTCTCCAATTGTTGCTGTCCAAATGTAACTTGTCTCTTCCCTTTTCCGCAAAAAGTTGTCTCTTGTCGCTATATTAAAATCTAAATTTCAGGGGGCGTCGTGTAGCGTAGTGGTTTAAGCAGGCGCCCCATGTGTAGAGGCTACAGTCCTCGCTGCAGTCGGCCCCGGTTCGAATCCCGCATCGGACGGCCTTTCACTGCATGTCATTCCCCCTCTCTCTGCCTCCCCGTTTCCTGTCACTCTCCACTGTGCTGTCCATTAAAAGGCATAAAAGCCCAAAAAAATATACTTTAAAAAAATCTAAAAATCAGATCTATTTGTTACAGTCTGCATTCATTTTTTTTGTTTGAAAAACATCTTTTCAAAACATGATTTATCGACCTAAACGACTTTAACACAAGGAAAAGTTTCTGTGAGAAGTTAAAGTAATGAAAAATATAAAAACTTTAATAATGAGATATTTGATTTTCCTTGCTCCTTGTACTGTAAAATTTCATTACCAGTAATATTAAATATTAAAATATCTCAAATCTCAACCCGATGCATCTCTACCTGTGAGAAGTTTGGTAGTTCCAGTACAATTCCCGGACTGTCTGGCTGGTTTGGAATCTGCAGAACCAATGTTCCTACAGGAGGACTGTACAGTGCAGGTCGAGGAGGTGAGGCTGGACAAGACTTCAGATAGGGAGGCTGTGGAAGAGGAGCAGAGGGCTGTGGGCTGGGTGAACGGTGGTTGTTTTGTCTCCCGTCCCGATGCGTCCAAGACTGCTCCACTTGTTCTCTCAGCTCTGCAGGCAGGGCCTCCAACACAGAACGATCCACCTTGGAAATGATCATTTAACACAAATTTAATCAAACTGCATCACTGATCAGCTCTCAGTCCCTTTATCAGAACTATCCTTCAAGCCACTACCTGTGAAGGGGAGGGGACTTCAATGCTGAGGTTGAGACGTGCTCGTGAGTGTTTCGGAGTTCGCCTGCATGCCTGCTGGTCTTTGCTTGTGCCAGGGACTGGCTCAGGAGAGGACAGAGGATGTGGGGATGAGCCAGATGATTGGACTGTAGCCAAGAAAGTCTTTTCCTGATGTGTGCTGTTGTCTGCCTCACCTGTAACATTGATCTTGAACTCAATTAATTTCATAGACGACATGAAAGATACAAGCTGCAACACAAAGACCTTTGACAAACCTCTGTTGTGGGATCGGGCACTCAGTCCCTGACCTAGCAACATCTCTTTGATGGAGCGTGTCCGGTGGCCTGTGGAGTCCTGGGGGACAGAGTGATTTCCCTCAAGAAGCTGAACCTGGATGCCAACTCCTCTCAGGTCCTGAACCTGCAGCTTCATGGCATGGAACAGCTTGATGACTGCAGTGGCAATCAGCTGACCACTGTCAGTGGATTGCACGAGCATCACGGTCCTGGCAGCAGGAGACAGATATAAATGAGTCTACAGAGAAACAGTGACATGGATAAGCAATAGAAATAGGACATTATCGATCCCTCGTAACGTACAGGGATGACAGTCTCTTTCCTACCTGGCTAAGTTGTCGCATATGCCATGACCACCGTATTTAGCCGGTTCCAGTGGAGCGCCCACCTTGCGTATCATGACCTTAAGGGTAACTCTGCGACCCCGCAGCCCTGCTTCTTGTAAACGTTTTTGCACCTCCATAGACAAGTTAGTCAGGAAACACTCTGCCTCATCAATCTGGTGAGTGGTAGAACAAGAGGGTTAGAGAGAGGTGGGTGGAAATGCAGCAAAGATAAAAAAAAAGAAGATATGGCACTGGAGAAAGTTCTGTCTAACCCTAGTGAAGCGAATGTTGTAGTTCATCTCAGCTGAGACAGACTTTCTTTCCTTCTCATAGCGGACAGGCCGATCGTCCAGCCCTCTGCAGAAACGGAACAGGGTTTGTCCAGTCCGGGGTCCAAACTTCTTCTGTAGCTGAGACAGAGACACCTGTTGGAGGTCCCCACATGACCTCACTCCCATCGCAGCCAACTTTCTGCCCATAACAGGCCCAACACCTAGAATAAAGGAATTACATTAATCACTTTGACAAACGTCTACCTCACAAAAGCTGTTATTGATGGACATGATCAGCAGGTGGTGCTGTATATCCACCTGGTAGGCTGGTCACTGGCAGGTCCCTGATAAAATCATCCACTTCTTCAGACTTTAAGAAGTAGTGCCCATCTGGTTTGGCCCTTCGGGTCGCCAGCCGAGCCAACAGGATGTTGGACCCTAAACAGATGAACAGTCAGTTTGAATTTGTAAACTCCAAACATTGTCTTGATCTATTTTACAGAATAGGATAAACATAAACTCACCCATGCCGACTGAAGCACAGCATCCTGTTTTCTCCTTGATGTCCGCTCTGATAGCTTTGGCAAGATCTCCTGGGTCGGTGCCCAACTCAGCGAGCAGAGCAGAACCGTCTATCAACACTTCATCACAGCTCAGAGCCTCAATGTCGTGGGTAAAACTGCAAAGAGTAAATAAGTGAGAGGGTGTGCTTCAAGTCATTTTGCATTCAAACGACAAGAGAAGTGAGTAGAGTTGTTCTTACCCAGCTAGTATCTCATACATGGTGAGAGCCACCTCTTTATAGGCCTCAAAATCATATGGGACAGACTGCAGTGAGGGACACAACTGTTTCGCTTTGCCAAAAAACATCCCGTTCCTCACGCCTGCCTGTCTGTGAGAGACAACCAATTTATTAACATTTGGCTTCGCGCAAAATACAGATATCTGTGCCGTTTAAAATCCTCAAGATGTACACGAGTGTGTGTTTATGTCTTACCTAGCCTCATAACTGCAGGACGCAATCTCTGCCATTGATAGCGCAGTAGCATCCTGGTCCACTCCGTTGGTGTGGGAGTCAGGACTCTCTTGTGAAGGAGTTCTGTGTAAATCCTCATCACTCCTCTCTGAGAGGCCGAACAAGGGTACACTTAGTCAAGCAGGTTACAATTAAGTAAAACATGCACAAGAAAATGTAGGAAATACAGTGAGCCAGGTCTGTGATAGTCAAGGACGGGATTGTTTGGGACAAACAGGTGGGGTATGACAGTCTCACCTGGTTGAGGATGAGATTGTTTCCTCTGGTAGTACTGCTGCTCCACCTGAGGGTTGGCCCCGGGTCTCAGGGGCACTCTGCCCTGTCCACGGTTACTGGTCACAGCCACAGGCTTTCCTGCAAGAAAAACCACAAACTCAACCATATGTAACAGGTGCCTGTGTTGCATATGAATACAATATGAACCGCGGCCTCACTGACAGCACACAATATAAATAGAAAAAGGCTGCTTCACCTTTGAGGTCCGGCCGATGTCGGATCCCCACAGACACAAAGAAACAGTCCATGTCCACATGAAGAATACAAGATTTAACAGCTGCAGATGCCGATGTACCTGACACACAAAGAGATCCATCATTGGCGATTTCCCACAAACAAAAGAAAACAATGCAGGGTGTGCAAGGTGGCACACTCATCCCAAGAAGCCCAGTTGGACAGAAAGGGGCAACACAAGTGTCATGAATACACTCATAAATAAGCTGGGACACTGACATTGTAAATATTTGAGATGATGGAGAGAAAACTTATGAGCACTGGTTTCCTTAAACATGATGATACAGCACATAACATTTTGCCTTTATTGGACAGCTCACAGTAAAGTGACAGGACACATTTTGAGAAGAGAGAACCAAGGTCTAAAGCTGAATTTCATCTGGGAAGTTGTAATACACTGTTCACATCTTAGACCACCGAGACACCAAGACGGCCAAATACATAGTTCCTGAACCAAAAAGGAAGAACATGAAAAGAGGCAACAACCTTCCTCTCCTACCTTGACTGTCTGAAGAGCGCGGGACTACAGATTTCCTCAGTCGGTCTTTCCCAGGAAAGGAGGCACCCCCTACTGCTTTTCGTTTGCTATGCAGTTCATTGACATACTCAGAAAAGCCGCTCCTCCATGTCGAGATCTGGTGCAAACGTGAGTGAGAGTAGTACTCGGAGATCAAATCACCCGTCTGTGCCAGCAGCTGTGTTGAAGACTTTGACGATGACGATGACTTGTCTGAGGGAGGATCGGGTTTGGTTGATAAGTTGGTTGTGTTGATTGAGGCAGGATTAGATGAAAAGGCATTGTGGTGACTTCCATTCAGTCGAATTGGAGAATATGAAAGAGAACGAGATGCAGGGGAAGGAGGAGTCTTTTCGGGATTTGAATCAACCTGAAGGGATAACTGGAGCTGTTTTGGGTGTAGGTGGGTTTCTGTGGCTTTTATGGCCTCCTGGTAGGTGGGTAGTAGAGGTTTAGGTCTCTCATTGGCTCCTGGTGAGCTGAATTGCTCCAGTAAGACAGAGGACTGGTCAGTTTGCTTCGGAGGACTGTGGGGAAATTCATACGGGTCATGTTTGGTCTGAAAACGTACTGGAGGACTCCGAGGTTTATCCTCTGGACTCTTAACTCTGCATTCTGGCAGTTCCTTGTCAACAGAGGGTTCATCTGTAACAGGAGACAGGTCCCCTGGCTTTAAGGCACCATTAACAAGATGAGTGTGTCCATTTGTCAGGGGTGCTTCCTTCACCACCTGTGGGAAAACATCTCCTTTGCCACACTCTTGCATTTTGCTCATTTTTGAATGGCTCATCAAATCCAGTGAGGTCTGCAATAATCCTTTTCTGTGAGTTAAAGAGATGATAGCTTAGTGTGTCAATGTAACAATATGTTCAAGTTACATGGGAAAACAATATTTAATTCTAAAGGAACAAAAAACAACAGACAAATAATCTCTCCCTTCTAATAACTTCACATACTTACACTTTTAATTCTACATCCTTGCAGCCACTCGGTCGTGTGTTGCAAGAAGAGTTGGTCTGAGGTTGTGGTTGGCCAGCTCTCTGGTGCTGGAGAATGCGATGAGGTGTTTGAAGAGTAGACGGTGGGGGCTTTGTGAGGCTTGGTTTAGACAGTGGGTGGGTGTGTGAAGGGCTTCTGTGTCTGGGATCTATATTAAGGTGACCTGATGCTAAGTGACTTGGTTGGGGGTTAATGAAGCAAGCTGCAGAGCTGTGTTTGATGGACTGAGGTTGGACGTTGCCTTGGTAGAGTTGATTGTGGCTGGGGTTAGGGTTGAAGTTATTCCGGTAGCTAGATGAGGACTGCTCATGGTTGGGAACAGAGTGCTGAACGCTGCGCTGTGGCAGGTGAAGCTTTTGATGGACGCTCAGCGGCAGCGGCGCATGGCTCGGCCCTGCGATCTCTGAGGTCTGGCGCAGAGTCATGCCAGGGAAGAGCGGGCCTTTCTGTTTTGCATACAGCTGGTACTGTAGGTAAGGCAGGAGACGCCCAGCCTCGACACTGTTTTAAAATTGACACAATTTTTTAGCTAGTCTTGTAAAATAGAAATTATATGAACAATCGCAAGAGAACGCATGAAATGTACGACTCCCACTGAACACACCTGTCTGTGATCCACTCTGGCCTGATGACCTTTTCCCCTTTGAGCTCCTGAATTTTGTTGTTGGGCAAGTTATTGGCGATGATGTGGGTGGTCTTGGAGCGAGAGTAGTAGACGTGGAACTGGCCACCATGCAGCATCATCAGTCTGCGTAGCTCATCTGCACTTGGTTCTGCTCACAAAAAAAAACAAAAAAAAAAAACAAGACAATGATAATGTCAGCTTACTAAGAGACAACACATACCGGCAGCAAAAATCATGGTTCAGTACATCTGCACCCATTACTTGCTATTTAAATCCACATACCCGCAGCATCTTGACACACATCGTAACAAGTTGAAGCACATGAACTTGTCGTAATACGTCACTGTCTTACAAGAAAAGCAGCAATTTCATCACATTCACTCCTTGGATCAGCACGTCCAGGCTACCGTACCTTGACGTCTTTTATCTATATGATTTAGTCCAGTGTGTGCTATGCATGTCAATTTACACACATCAAATGACGAGGCTGGTGTATATTACAACCCCCCCCCCCCATGTGATTTCTTTCATGCTTCATTTTAATGTGACATTTTAAGCTGTGCTACTTTGACACTGGCAAAACACAATACTATTCCCATCAGACACTGGGCAGTACCCAGTGACCTAATCACAATGCTATGAGTGCATCAAGGTAGTCTGACATAGTGCATACATACGGCAGGCTCTTTGCTCGTTAGACTGCATTTGAATTACTTTTTCCACTAATATGCAACTTATGCGGCAATTTCCGTATCCATGACAATGACTATCATCAGAATCACACCATTAAGAGCATTCACAACTTCAGACAACTATACAGGTTCTTTAATAGATAATGGTTCTGTACAATATACCTGTTCAATATATTGAAAATCAAATAATGTTTTTTCATACCACTGAATGAGGAGAGAAATGCAATTTAAATCACTGAGAAAAAAAAAACAGCATGCAGAATGCTTATTTCTCTTCTGATACTCCTCTGGGACATTCTGCTAACTTTTACATTACAACTCTGTCTTTCATACTGGGAAGAAATTGTGAGAGGAAGAAGAAAGATAAACTAGAGATATGTAAAACTATGGACGTAGCACAGCATTACCTGTGTACCCATTAACATAAATGGCCACTCCACTGAAGATGTTGGAGCATAAGCCTTCCTTCTGTCTTTCCCTGGGGGCATCAAGTTTAAACTGCTCATCCAGCTTGGAGACTTTGGCAGCCATGTAGCCGCCCTGCACACGAAAAGGAGAGCAGTGAGAGAACAGGGTAAATCACTTTTAGACCAAGAGCTGAAATTGTCACATTTGAGCAGATCAAACCATATTAATGAAACACATATGCAAATATTTCTGTGGTTTACACAATATCCAAAAAAAAACACTGAAATTTACTAAATTTTTTTGTTTGTTTTTTTGTTTTCTGACACACTTAATCTACACATATTACAAACCTGAGTTCCAGTGTGCATTTTCCTTTGCAGACTATACAGATCCTATCAGTGTGTATGACATTCAAGGAATGGCTCATGTATACATGTTGCTGTGTGCTGTGTCTGTGTGGCTTAAAAATACTTTGCCATTTTAGGGCACAGATGTTATTGTCTACTTACAGTCTAATTACTGTCTAGCCTGTATGGTTTATATTACTGTTATTACAGAATGATATGGGTTACATGCAGCTCCTGTCACAGCAGCTGTACAACTTTGGCAGGCTAACCTTTATCTACATAAACAACTACCAGTGATCAGTTTGCAGCTCTTTTACAATGAGAAGACAGGAGAGAAATAGAACAGGGTGATGCACTTACAGTTTGCTGTAAAGTGCACTATGAATAGCTTTTCAACCCACTGCATCCCTTTAACTCTTGACAGTGGGGTAAATTTCTACACAGCATTGATGGTTATAATGAGCTGAGCGATACTCACCCTTTCAGCCCAACCATTGTCACCACTAGCACTGGCTCTCTTCTTTGCCCACCCATCTCGACTCATACTGAGCTACCTGAAAGCACAAAAGGAGCTATTCAGCAACGATGAATAATACAAGTCGAAGCTGAGCTCAGCTAAGAGCAAATTGGACTAATGTGTTTCTGATGCACACATATAACTTACCATACATCCTAAAATTATGCTGATGACAATATTATTTTAATTACCAATTTACGGATAAAGTAGATTGAGATTACGCTGTAACATTTTGGACTGGTCAACAATTCCTGAGTGGTGCTTTTTGTTTGTTTACAGAGCTTTCTCAGGTGCAAGCCAAAAGACACAGACTAGCAGTTACTCTGTTCACAACTGATACTTATAGTTGTTATGTTATGAATTCATTTTCCTGGAGAAGTGTCAATTCAACATAAATGTTGTGATATTGGTTGTATGCTTTAGGGGGTTAATATTAGTGTCCAAGGGCATGCCCGGACAGGTCCCCTGCCACTGACAGGTAGCTAACGTGGGCTTACAACAGAGCCCCATGTGGCACTTTGTCACATCTTTCATGCTAACATTAGCCTGGCTACTCTGAACGATGCTTAGCTAGTTAATCATGCATGTCGCTGCGCCACGGCACGACGGTAAAATCATGTCAGTTCAAGCAAGCAAAAATACGAGTAGAAGTGTGTTGCCTGCACTCCGTAACAATGCTGGCAAAATTAGCTACCAAACAATGGATACGGTATGTGACTACTATGAAACTTCCGTGCGGTGTTAATCAAGGTTGTAAACAAACAACGGTCCTGAGAGATTGTTCGCAAACAGAAGTCACTTGGTTTTACCTTTTATCCTGTCAGACTGGGTTGTTAGCCACAGACTTCACTCTGCAGATACTGGCCAGCACAAACGTTGTGTGCGCACTGATTAGACGAGCTAAGACCAAAGCAAAGCGAAATGAAAATCCTACAGACTGTTAGCTCGACTCCTCTGCCTTGACCTGCCCCAGAGAACTCCTTTAGGTGAACTGAGATCCCCTTATTTTGTCCTGCAGCCACGCCATGTCTCTTCAACGTTTTCGCTCACCCCCCCAATCCTTCTGCTCTCCATTTCTACCGCCTGATCTGGTCCCTTTGCTTTCTCCTCTCGCAGTGAGCGTAAAGCGAGTGAGGCGAAACATACCAGTTCCGGCGAAAAATTTCAAAATAAAATATTTCATGCTTAAGCGGACATTTTAATTTTAATTAAATCCAGTTGCTGTTACAATTATACAGGACTCATATAGTAGCTGGATATTTACCAAGCGGTAACACCGAGCGCTGACAAATTAACCCAACACGGAAATGCCAAAAAATGCAGTTCCTTAAATGGCCACTTGAGGTTGGCTCTAAAAGCGAGTCAATCCCAGGAGACTCCAATTCCCAACTTTACACCATAAATAAATATGTTTACAGCCTGGTACAAAAGTCGCTGTAAGTCTCTATAGCTAATTCCCCCTTCATGACAACTGTGCGGGGGTTGAATTTTTATGTAACTCATCCGTTTAAAATTTATTAAGGCTTAAAGGTATACAGAATTGAGGGAGTTGTGACTTTGAGTGACAGGCGGATGCCGTCAGAGTTGGTTAGCCACTGGTGTCTAGTTGCTAGCTGACTTCTTGGCCGTGTTTGTGGTTTTGTGCTGGACAAATACCGGACAGATAATATGGCTTGTTGTGTTAATTGACTAACACGAGGAAGTCTGCGCTCCTGCTTATTAAGGTGAGTAAAATTTTTGTATTCTTTTATTTATATGTTAGCACTAATGGTAAATATCAGTGTCACTCACCATACCTGTCTTGTTAGCTTCGCTCGTTAACTAGCTAATTGGCCAGCTAATGAATTAGCCTTAGGTAAGCCTTCTTGCAAGACCCCATATAGCTGTGCTAACGTTCGTGAAGGCAGAGCTGCCCACTTTGAGCTTCAAAATCACTTTTCAAAAGACTATGGGTGACATCAGGGATTTACAGTCTGTCCAACCGGACAAACGGTAACTTGTAATAATAATAATAATAATAATAATAATAATAACGTAATGTAACGTAACGTGATAAGCCTGTACATAAGATGGTTTTCCTTTAGCTAGTCAGCACTATGCCCACTGAAGTCAATTGGCACACAGCTTGGATAACCAATAAAGTAAAAAAACTCTTACCCCTGTAATGAACTAAATACTGCTAATGCCAGAACACAATAAAGTTCTTGTGATGAAGAAACTGAGTCTAGATGGCACTTGTTCATAAACTGTTCACATACTGAGATATTCTGGACAGATTTGTAATGTTTGTTAGAGAAACACAGTGTCATATTGAGATACCTGAATATGAACAGTCAGTAAGAGCCCTACATTGGATTTTTGTTAATTTCTTCCATTTCTTTTGCTTTTAAAAGTCCATACAATTTATTTAGAGGAAGACATTAGAAATAACTTTATTTGGACAAATATAGACATTATATGGTAATATATTTTGATGATGTTGATAATTATTATGAACCCATCAAATATTATTTCAGTTGTGTGTATGGGTGATAGATCTTTGATTAATGGGAGACACAATACTTTCAATAATGAAAAAGGTGTGTATAATTACGCTCAACTTCCGTTTCTCGTGTCGCCCTTTCTTATCTAGCTTGACCCAGCTGATCCCCGGCTTCTTGTTTTTAGCTTCAAGTTGTGCGGTAATGCCGCCACTGTGCGGGCAACCGAGTCCATGGCATCTGAATTGACAGTTTAAAAGCTCCTGGAAGCTCTGTACAGTTTTTAAACCACCCACTCTGATACTTTCACACCGGTTTACTCATCGTGTTCGACAAAAACCGGTGAGACGCTGGTGTGAAGCTGTTTGATGCTGAAGTAACCGTTGGCAATCGCACACTGATTGATTGTTCACCTTTGAAAACCTGTGCTTTATATCAGGAGTGCAGAGGGCTAATGCGCCCACACTGCCTACTGAGGCAGTCGATCCAGAGCAGTCTAGGATTTTATTTATTTATTTATTAATTTTTGTCTGCTGTGTGTACTGTCTGGCTCCGAGCACGGTTGTCCTCAGACGGCCCGGCACACATAGGCAGCCAACGGCCGTGACGCAGAGACACGTGCCGGATGAACGAACCAGCAGCGCAGGCTGTGGACATGGTGGTCCGCTTCGATAACCTCCCACTGTGACGATTATACTCCTGTAGCCTATAGTCAGAAGAAAATAATAAAAAAAAAAATAGCACATTTGAATTTATTTTCACGTTACGTGCATTTCCAACGTCATTCAGCTGCTCTACGAATGGATTCATTTATCATGCAGTGAAATAAGGTCACTGAGCCAGCACCAGGGAAGCACAGAAAAATGATACAATCTTTGTTCAGAGCCTCATTTGTTTCTGATGGCTTGACTGATCTGATTTGGACCAATTTGACCCTTGATTTATCTTTTTAGATGAATAAAGACAGCAAAGGATAAATTAATTAATTCAATTAACTAATTAATTCTAGTAAAGGACATTAGAGTAAAGTAGATCATAGTCCAGGGAAACACAAAAAAACTCTAATCGTGTGCTGGATTAGTTTGAAAAGAATCCCATTTCATAAAATCAAAGAAACTAGGATGTTATTGACCCAAGCCTTGTTGTGTCCTGAAGAGCCCCCTTATTGGTTGTTCTCTGTTGCTATGGTACCAGACATCGGATGCTGAAGTTTCATGTGTGACTTCTGTGTTTGTGCAGCAGGAAGTGTAGTTGCAGTGATGGAGAGTCAGAGAGAGAGAGAGAGAGAGAGAGAGAGAGAGAGAGAGAGAGAGAGAGAGAGAGAACAACTGGACTGACTAATGAGTCTGAATCACAGACAGTCACTCACGCCTAGTGGGTGTGTGTTTGTCAGTGGTAGCAAGAAATCCAGAGTAGGAGAGAAGCAATCTATAGGATCCGCTTCGTTTCCAAGACAAATGCATCACAACATGAATGCCTGAATGACTGATTCAAAAAGCATCCTGCCAACAGAGTTATGATCACCATCATGAAATTTAAAAATAGACACAATGAGAGAATAAGAGCATTAATTCAGTGAGATGCTCATGGAGCTTCTCAAAAATATTGATGGATTACTACTGTCAACCATTTTCAACCTCAGGGAGAAAGATGTGCATTGTGTATGTGGTAAACACCACATTTGCTATAGGCACTGGAGGATCACTGTTTATATGGGGCATCCTTATTCATGAGTAATTATCAGAAATTAGCCTATATGCAAAAGTCACAGTATAAAAAATGTGCGTACTGTATGTGTACGCCTACTCTCAGTTGCCAGTTTATTAGTTACACCTAATGCAGTTCAGTACAAGCACCACCCATGTCTTTTATTTGTTAAATGATCCAAGTAATTTAAGAAATTAATATGAATGAAAGTAATGATTGTCAAGCCAACCGTTTAGTTGATAGTAGTCCAGTTGATTTGGAAAGGCTTTCGAAGGCTTATGATTTGAAGAATGTTTTGACCCACAGATGAGATTGTAATCCTCACCTAGATAGCGATGCTATGTTTCCTGTTTCACTCATGCTGCAAGTACACTTTCTTCTTTTCTCTCAAGCCCATAAGTCTGTGAGGAATGGAATGAAATGCACCATCATAGAAGCTGGGAATGTAAAATTAATACTCCTAAACTAGACCCAACAAAATAAACTTACCAAGAGGAAATCTGGATGACCTCTTCAACTTCATTTTTTCAGTCAATTACATAACCACACACTCAAAAAGGGCCAAAAAGAAAATTTGCAACCTTTGATTTTGGCATCTAGACTCAACAACATTTTATTATTCTCTTGTATTTTCTTTTTTCTAAAAATTGATAATCCATCAAATATTGCACAGTAAAAACACATAAAAATGAAAGTATCAGAGATTTTAAAAGTAAGAGTCATTTAAACCTTCATAAGGAAAGATGCAAACAAGTGTACTTTGGAGAAAGTGGTTTATGATTGGTTGGTCTATGTAGCATCTTCTCCTTTTTTAGTCCCAGAGAAATAGTCCGCTGGATGGCGATGAATTCCAAATTATGAAAAAAGGCTTTGTATATGGGTTCTTCAAGATCCAAGGGACATTTGGCAAATGATTAGAGACTTCAAATCCAAACCACACACAACTCTTCAGATTAATCCATTGATGAGGAAGAAGGTGCATGTAATAAATCTGTGAGATGTTCAAAGTTTGCACCTTCAGAAGGCTTTGCACAGAGTAAGGCCCTGATGGTGAGCACCCCGACATCCTATGAGGATGACAGATGTCAGGCTCCATAGGATTTTATCCAACTCCATTACACACAGCACAGTATAGCATCCGTGCTGCCCTGTTAGCTGCATAGAGTTTTTCTCTCCTCTACATTAAATGAGACCTGGAGATCCAGTGAACAGGTAACGGCAAATCCCTCCTTAGTTAAGTTTGGCACTAATGCGTATCCACTGAAGAGCCTGTCTGGTGTATTGGACTGTGTGAGCGATGCTGCTGTGAAGAGTCAGTGGCCCAGACAAAGTATTCAAGTAATTGAAGAACTCTGTGATGGGAGAGGGGAAAAAATGCTGTTAAAAACTCACTGTCATGGGTGGTCAAAGAGATACATTTGACATTTGTCACTTATTCTCTTGTAAATCTGTTAACAAAGACTTTTTCCCACCATATACAACTGATGCATATGTGTGACTATGAGGAGAGTGCATACCTTTATTCTCCTTTGCAAGGTTGTCAGCCACCTCCCAGTACTCATAGCTGTACAAGACACTGTTAGTTATGTTAAGGTGATTTGCTGCCATCTGGTGGATACGTTGGGGAATGCTTATGAGAGAGGGGGAGGTGCTGCCCCCATGTGAACCCCGTCCAAGGTGTTTGGCATTGGGTGAGAGTGATGACGGGGGTCCTCCTGCACCCCTGGGAGTGAAAACACATACAACAGAGTGATGGATGGATGGATGGAATGGAAACAAAATGATGAAACAGAGAGGCTAAAATATAAAGTTATTATCCACCTACTTCCCAGAGTCATTCCAACAGGGTGGTGTAGTAGGCACTTTGGGAGAACTCTGTAATGACATGACAATGATGTAAATAAGACTAAAAGTTATTCTGATGTTTACAGCAAATGACGTCCAGAAATCTATGTAATTGTCTCTGTGTAAATTGCAAATCGGACTTGTCGTTTTTAGATATACCTTAAAATAGTCCAGCAGCACTTTGGAGTATTTCAGTGCATGGTCCTTCTTTAAGCGAAACATCTGCCAGTAAAGTAGGGCAAGGCATCGGAAACTGTGGGCACACAAACGCAAGTCAAAGAGACTGAGATGGACCACAAATCATACTCAAAATGCAGGTCCTTCAGCATGGTGATAGATGTGGCATAAACAGAGGAGATGACGTACGCACCACAGAACCGCCAGCTGTTTGTCTTCCTGTCTTGCCCCAGGGCCAGAGTGGCTCTTCAGCCTCATTGCGTACCTAAAGACACAGGACTATTAACAATGGAGCTGCGGTTTATGTATATGTATGTGTCTGTTTTCTTTATGTCCAAATCCAAATAACTTGTATCTGGTTTTGCACTGATGTCTAATTTACCTTATAAGCTCCACTGTCTCTGAGTACATGGTATATGGAGATTTTGCCTCGAGTGGGCCTTCCTCCATTGCTTTCCCACATTCCATGAAGGAGAGAGCAGCGTCAACGTAGTTCACAGCCTTCCCCAGCTTGTCCACCTGAAAAAAAAAACAAAGATGGGAGTAAATATTAAATGAGTACTTTCATATTTTAGTCTTAAGCATCTAAACCAAGTGGGAATTACCTGGGAAGGTCTTCAACAGGACAGGTTTAGCCTAGCTTAGCACAAAAACTGGACATAGGGAGAAATGGCTAATGTAGCTCCATCAAAGTACTAAGTTTAGAAATGGGGCTAGTACCCATCAAGAATCTATTTTGTTTGTTTTCCTTCTGATTGACCAAAGCACAATGTTACAAAGTATACAGCATATACATACAGTATATTGCATGTTCCTTTCTCTGTATCCTCCCTGGAAACAGAAGCGCTGTGTAAATTCAGTTTTGGTTTCTAATTCTAATTCACTAATTGTACAACATCCCAATTTCACTTCCCTCTTGACAATTTATATTCAATCAAAAATCAAGGACTAACCATTGCATCAGCACGGTGCTTCATCCGTTTAGCCTCATGTAAGTAGTACTCAGCATGGTGTGGACTAGGAAGATGAACAAAAATACAGAAAAATAAAGTGCAGTACAGTCAAAGTGTTTTATGTTATCAGTAAGTCACAATTGGCTTTATGAGGCTTTATGTGACAAACAACAAGTGTGGGCTGTGCAGTGATGCACTGTGTGAAGTAGGTATGATTGCTCACGTGTCATGGTTCGGCACGGTCCCCCTGTGTCCTGTAAGACCCCAGGACTCGCACAAGGGCTGGGGCTGTCGTGATACTTTTACACATTCCACCTCCATCTTGGGCTGAGTGTACAGGTTTAAAATGAGGTGTATTAAACTAAAATGTTGCAACCAATGGAGTTTGGATCTCAATAAGCAGTCATTTGTAGTACCTTTACAGCAGAATCTCTATTCTTGTCTCTGTTCTTATTGGTGTGGATTTGATGCTGCTCTGAGGTGTTTGTTTTGGAGGGAGGTTTGGTGGACTCGGGGCTGTTGGACAGTGGAGACAGGGGAGACAGTGGCCTCTTGCTGTCTAAATACTCCTCCAAGTACCTGCAAGTACACACATACCCACATGTGCATTTATGCAAACACACTTAACATGGGATTTAAATATATATATATATATATATATATATATATATATATGATATATAAACACATATTTGTGCATACAGTATTATTGCACAAATATATATATGACACAAAATGGTGTGTATTGTGTTTTCTTACCCATTGTGTGTGGTCTCAGTCACAATGTTGCATTCAGCTGTGTTAGCTGATGACTCTGTGCGACCTGAGAGATCACTTGCATGAGGAAGACTCCTCTTGCTTTCTCTGTGTGACTCGCCATTCTCAAGCTGGTAACATACACACAGACATAGGCACGCTTTGAAGAACAGGCCTACATCAACGCTTTCATCCTCATATTCATGCATTTAAGTATGTGCAGAGACACTTCAAGATTCAACTGAGAAGAAACACAAATATACAGTATGTGTTGTCTACCTTGCGTTTCCTTTTGCTGTCTTTTGTCCCGGTGTCCGGTGTATACAGGTGTTTCATAGCCTCTCTTTGTTTGTCCTTGGTTGATGAAGAGGACGAGGGAGAGGAAAAAGGTTTTTTAACAGTGGAAGTAGTAGTGCTGTCAGGGACCCTTTTGAGAAGGCAGAGGTCTATCTTCACCACCAGATTTCTAAGCCCTCGCTGAGAAGACACTGTAGCCTGGTCACTTCGCCCAAAAGGGACTAGGGTGTAGAGTTTTTGCTTCCCCTCACTCTGCTGCCCCTCACTTGGATTAGCCGAAATAGGTCCTCTGGAGTGCACCACCTTCGGCCTGCTGGCGTCAGGTCTGCCTGGGCCTTGTTGCCCTCTCCTGGCGAGTCTCTTGTGGGAGGTAGAATCTGCTGGAACTTTGGTGATCGGAGCCTGATGTTCAGATTCAGAATCTGAATTTGTGGAGGAAGAAGAAGAGGATGAGCATGAGGAGGATGGCCTATGAGGAGTTGGGGAATGTGACGGCGAAGGTGAAGGGTCTGGCTGTAACTCTCTCTCCTCCTCACTTTTCCCTCCCTTTTTTGTCCTCCCTTGGTGGTGTGAGTCCTCGTGAAGGCGGTGTCGCTTGGTGTTGGTTGACACTCTCTGTTTGGTCTGGACTGTTTGCCATTCGCGTCTGTGTTGCTGCTCCCTCCTTCTCCTGTTTTCCCCTTTTGCTGTCTCCTCTCTCCTCCTCTGCCTTTCTAGTACTCCCTCCTCCTCTTCCTCCTCCTCTTCTTCCGCTGAACTCTGGATCCAGGGACGTCTCAGTAGCTGCTCCTCCGCCAGCCTCTTGTCTTCCTTTCTTTCCTGTTTCCCTTGCTGTTTTTCCCTATGTCTGTCCTCTTTTCTCTCGTGCTTTCTCCCCTCTGCTTGGATCAGATGATCTCCTCTGTCGTCCACCTGCTGTTCCTTATTTTGGGTTTTCTTCTGTGATTTTGTGTGATTAACATTCACAGGAGTTGACGCTGTAGCCTCCCACAACCTGGCCCTAGGTTTTAGGCTAGGACTAGCCCTAGAGTTCAACCCACTACCAGAATTAGTAGCAGCTTTAGAGGTAGATTGGGAATGAGTACTGTGGGCATTGGTTTCACGACTAGCAGGAACTAAGTGCTTTGCTCTTGTGGGGCTATGTTGTGAGCTGGGTTGAAACGGAGGCCTGGGCTTGTGGTTGGACCTGTGGTGGGATCTGCTCCCTTGGATTTGCTCAAAATTTAATGCGTGTTTGGCTTTGGGAGCCTCTGAGAGCTGTTTAGAATTCAGATGAAAGTTAGACTTGGGTCTAGATTTGTGGTTGTGACTCTGGTTAGAGTTTAAAACAGCAGTGGCCTTGGATTTGCTTTGGCTTTGGTCTCGGTCCTGTGAGGGTTGAGTCCTGGGCTTGTGCTGATGAGTTGGCGGAGGATGACTACTATTTGTGGGCTTGTTCTTGGTGTCGATGCTAGGCAACCGGGGAATCCTTGACCTAATTTTTTTCCTGTGTGAATTAGTCGTTAGGCTAGGTTGCGTTTGGTTCTGACTCTGAACCCCAGGGTCGTGACAAACCCTTGAAGGAGGAGATAAGCTGGGACTTGGACTTCTTGGAGGGTCTCTAGGGACAGGGCTTGGGCTGCAGCTGCCTCCTGGGCTCCCAAATGGACTGGGGCAAACACTTAGAACTGGGCTTGGGATTGGGCTGTACCTCGGGCTAGGGCTGGGACTTGGACAGGTGCTGGGGAATGGGCTGGGGCTAGGGCAGTAGCTGTAACCAGGGCTAGGTAGGGGGCTATTGTTGTGGCTGTAATTGAACTGTGGGCTGGGAATAGGGCTTTGACTAGGGCTGTATTCCTGATTGCTGTCCCAGGATCTGGCTGGAGATGGGGCTCGCTGGGTGTGAGGAGAGGACAGGTGTCCTGTAGCACTGTGGGAAGGATCTTGTTCACTGCTGGCAGATTTTTTGCGGGACTTCTTCAGCCATTTATCTAACTGCCACTGGGCAGCAGAGGGATGATCATTCTAAAGAAAGCACAGAAAAAGAGAGAGACACAAATTACAAATAGTAATCATAAATAAACTAAATACATTTTAAATGAAATCTTTGCTAATATAGAGGCTTAATACACACATATAGTGGTGGAAGAAGTCTACATGGATCCTTTTCTAAAGTAATAATACAACAATGTAGAAGTATTCTGTTACCAAGTCCCACATTAAAACTTACTTATCAAATATCAAAAGTAAAGATACAGTTGTTTCATTTCATAGTTTATAGATATATTACTGGATTACTATTACTGATGTATAAATATGTTAATGCATTTTACTGCTACAACTGGTTGAAAATCTGATCATTTCAACTACTTCATATAGTATTGGGCAGTACAGTCTCTAACAGTTCAAAAGCCCCAGTCTTATTAAGACAATTCTGGCTATTATGGCTCCTAAAACAATCTGTTAGTATGGTAAAAGTAAGTCAACACATTTTAATCCAAATGAACCTGTCTTAAGATCTGACTGCATCTTAAGAACAAGAAAGTCTCTGTCGTAGAAATATGAATACTGAGAGTTGATTTCAGGAATTCTGCATGGGAAAATGCTAAAATATTCATACTATGGTAGAATTTTTCACATGAAAATAACATGTTGGGACTCAATTATATTTATATAAACATGACTTGATAAGAGGGATTTTTTGCAGGAAATGTGCACAATATTTAAAAAATTGATAGTGAAATTGAAAGTTAAAAGATTTTAGTAGAGTAACTAGTTTAGCTCTTAAATATAAATATAGTGAAGTTTGTCTGTCTAGCAGAAAAAGGAAACACTCAAGTAAAGTACAAGTACCTCAAATTGCACTTACAATACATGAGTAAAAGTACGTTGTTACATTTCACCACTTGTACACGCACTAATTAAGAGATGAAGTGCAAGCAGAGAATGAAGGGTCACTTAACATTACATTTAACCAACATAGTACAACATCTGCACATTCCAATAGAGCCATCTAAAATGCAGCACATTTACGGCACTTCACTGACTCAGCTGCTGTTGAAACTAGGGAAAATCAAAATGAAAAATCTGGAACATGACTCACGTCTAAAAACTTAGTTCAATAAAAACTTAAACCGACGTGATAAACTCCTTCAAATACCTTACTTACTACACAGTCTAACAATCCACATCTGTGCTTACAGTAGCTCAACCCCCCATCCAATTATGTCAAATGACTCACTTAATGTTTGTTTAACAACTGGCTTGGTAACTGTAAGAATGTGAAGAACACAAGAGGAAACAGAAGTTTTTACTAAAATAAAAAAAACAAAAAAAAACAAAAAAAAAAAAACAGAGAGGATACTCACAGCTGGAGGGCAAACTTCTTTCTCTCTCGCGTTCTCTTTTGCTCCCTTAGTTGACCAGGAGCTAAATTAAACTTCTACTCCTCAAGTCAAACAGTGACCCCCCTTCCCTCCTTCCCCACATCCCTCGCCCTCTTTCCAGAGAAGACACTGCATCTCTTGTACCGTCTCGGTTACCCTCCCTCCTTTTTTTCTGTCCCTCCCTCTTTCTCTCACTACCTGGAACTCTGGATTTGCTGCGTCCAGAACTCCAACCCCCATCTCTTCCCTGGGAGACACTCAAACACTCCACATAAATGAAAAACACATGGTGTACACCCCTTCCCCCTCCCCCTCCAAAAAACACACACTCCACTGCCTACCTCTCGATAGGGGCCCAATGTAGTGCATGTTTAGTGATACAGTCTGCTATGTCTTACAGGGCCTTCCATTCATAAAAGAGAAGCAGGTTTCCCTTTCATTCCCCACCGAGCACACGTCTCAAACAAACCCCCACAATACCCTTCACCACCAAAAGCCCATCATTCACTGCAGCACTAAATCCCCCGTTCAATATTTATCTGAGACACTGAAATGCAAGCTGGCCTCATTCTCATGTGAGATGTTTTGACAAAGAGGGTAACTCTAGTTGTAGATGTCAACATGAACCGGAGTCCTGATGACTTCCACCTCCTGAGGGCTTTCCTCTTTAAGACTCAGCCTGTTGACATGACACCCAGGCACTAATTCCCAAAGCTACGCCTGCCTTCAACCCCCTCCTCCTCCTCTCCAACTCATACACATTCCTCATTCCTCTGTCCCTCCCCACACCTGCCGTCAAGTGCCTCGTGGCCACCACTCCCTGCAGAGAATTCACCCGAAGGCACACAAACGGAGGAGACAGACAAGCGAGACATGGACAGAGAAGACAGAGAGCAGAAGAGGGGGCTGTGTGGCTCAGCTTCGGTACCTCCTTGTTGCTGCACAGTGGCTGTGTGTTGGCTGGCGATGCGGGATCCGGGTGAACGTCTGGGCTCGGGCTCCGGGAACGAAGGCTACTGCTGCCTGACTCGGCAGAGGAGTCTGAGCCTGAAGAGTCCGAGCTGGAATGTCTCACCCGCCTGCCATGTGTGTGCACTCGCTGTGCTGACAGGCTGTCAGTCAACACACACACAAACATCAGAGCGGGGTCAGCATAGGTACACGGCCGAGGAGAGCACACATCCACAGGCAGATAGATACTGTTGCTATTCATGGCACACACGGTTTCACTTATGTTTACAGACAAACACTCGAAAAAAATATGCACACAATATTTTACAATCAAATACCTGTGTCTATCCCAGGAAGCTGACTCATGAATGGCCTTCAAGGACGCAAAACAAGAAACAGAAAGTTATCATTCACAGCAGTAGCGTAGTGAACAACTTACTTCACTCGACCTGCTACCTCTGCTGCTTGGTGTCTTTATATAATTAGCAGCAAAAAAGGAATTCTATCTGAATACCTTTTGAGCTGCATATGGGTGTGTGAGCACACCATTAAACACTACCAGAAAACAGGTATCCTCCAATAGGACCTGCCAAATACTCTAGTAATCGTCTTTGTTATACTTTCCCTTACACTTTTCCCGCCCTCTCACACTGTCTGCCTCCTCGAGCATGCAAAATAGTATGGGGATCAGCTTAGGACACAGCTGCTACTAAAGGCATATTATCTTGAAAGCACTTTGAAACATGGTGATTTGTTTTTTTGGTTTCAGGGGAAAGGGGCAGAGTGTTACATACCCTTTGAGTGTCATCATCATCACTGCTCAGCTTCAGGTCATCAGCAAGCATGCTGTAAACAAACAAACACAGTCAGAAAAAGGGCACACTGTTCTTAGGGTTTTCAATAGAGATGCACTAATCCATTTTTTTCCTCCACCACTACTGATTCAGATACTTAAACTCAGGGTATCAGCTGGTAGAGAGCACTGATCTCTGACCAGGTCTCTCTCCTTGCTGAATTCAAAATCATTGCAATCATTTTTATGTAAGGTAATAGGATGCCAGGGAATGGTATGACTGAATGATCGTAAATTTTAGCAGAAACACAAAAATCTTTATGATATTGATGGAGAGACTGTATTTAATGTGGATAGGTCACGTCATGCTTTATACCTTATCTGTTTAATAAACACAGCACCAGCATGATACCAATCCAGTGTATCTGGATGCGTGCATCCTTAGTGCATCCCCCAGTTTTCATCAAAATATGACTTTCATTTCAAAAACAAGTTTTTGAGTTTGATCAGCCGCTATTACAGCAGCTTATTTATACACCTACTCCACTGTTACATTTATATATGGTAGAACATGGTTTATTTGTACCTTAGATAAAGCTTCATAACCAGTTATATTTCAAAAACATAGATTTCCACAGATTTAATTTACAAACCATAACCAATTTTGCATTTAAGGTGTTAAGATGACCAATAATTTAATAGTAAACCGCAAAGTTCATACTGCTGATCATTCTTAAATAAATAATGTAATTTTACTCACGTGTCCATTGAGTGGAATAAGATTGCTAATGTACTTTACTGAGCTGATATTTTTGGTTTGCTGATGTATGTAACTGGACACATTTTAGTTTAAATGCTAACAGTTCTCAAAAATTGTGGAAAAAATACTTTTTCCAAATATTTTGGAAATGTGAACTGTCATAAAACTGCAGTATTGCATAACAAAGGCTGTGTGATATGGTGAGACATGCAGTTGGCTCATGCTACTGAACATGTGTTTCCCATTAAAAAGAGGATGTATAGAGTTAACCAACAGAAGCACATCAGTCTCCACTGACAGCTTTCAGGATTGTTAACTGACCTTTGACCTGACTTAGGTTACATAGCCTGAAACACTGTTAGCTCACTGACCCCTATATATCTACATTGCTTCACTCTCCCTGTCATTAATGCTTTTCCTTGTGGCTGTTTAGATGATGTTCAGAAATTAGTTTCACCAAAGTTGCTAAGGGGAACACATCAGTTATGTGCGTGATGTATTTTATCATCTGTGTGTGTTCCACAGTTGCAGTTCATGATTGATGACCTCTTGGTGGATCATGTTTCCTCATGCCTCACTTACGATTTGTGCGGTGCCACGTGAGGGTGACGGGTCATTCGCTGCTGAACATCCCCCCGACCTAACAAAGAGAGAGAACATATGTAATACCAGAAAACAAATCATATCAAACATCTAATAGAGAAGCAGTTGTAAAATGTTGCTCGTATCAGATATGCAAACTCATTAATCAGTGAACACTTACTTTGCCTTTGTTGTGTGGTTGGTTGTTTTGCATCCTTAGGACAGAGGGAGAACATAAAACAGTGTGTAAAAATCTTTACTTACACAGTTACAATCATTGCACTGTTACAGTGCCATCTTTTTTTTATTCCATACCTTCATCCTTATCAAAAACCTGGCACCTCCATTACCCACAATGCAACTCTGCCATTGACAGCTTGGTTGGAGATTTTGGTGTGTTATTCTATTGACAGTTAATGTAGAGTCGCGTAGAGGTCTGGTAAGCTCACCTCTGAGTAACTCCACACCCCCAGATTTTCTTTTTCATTTTCAAACTTTAATGTGTAAAATTGGTGGTTTCTCTTTAATTATCAGAGATAAACAAACACACCCACATACCTTAGGGCTGTAGAGGATTCGTTGGGCCTGGTCACCCCCTAAGGCTTGCTGGGACGGCCAGGACTGAGTCATGTCCTGTGAAACAGCAGTGGGGGGGTCAAAGGTGAATTGTGAGGTGTCACTGTGAGTGATTACCTTCACATTCAGGAGCTTCAAGCATCCTAAATCCGTCATCAGAACTTCCTTTATTTTTCTTTGATTTAACTTCTCTCCCATTTACACGCATACAGTGCAGAGAGCCTCTTTTGCCAGCTGACTCTTGTTATGAGCACAGTTCCTCCCCACCAGGGGGAGTGTGATTGGGTGGAAATATGAAGTCAGCCTCAGTGTCTAGTGTAACTTCACAGTGTGTACTTTGCAGTGGTGTCAAGATTTCTGTGCAATCATTTTGTTTTGATTGATCGCAGTTTGCAATGATCTTTTTGATCTTTTTATGTTTCACAGCCGGTTGAAAAAAAAAAAAGAAATTCACATGGCTGTGATCACTCAGTGTGCAATGCATGATTTTCCATTTCAGGAGGATACACCTGAGTATCATTATATATGATGATGATATATATATATATATATAAATATCACAAATTCTAATTTGCTCAAGTCTCAAAATATTACTATATCATAGGTACACATAGAAAAGAAAAAACAAAGGGAAAAATGATGTACAACTAGTGCGTGATCTTTTATTTGCAACATAATCATTCATTTGTAAAAATAAAATCAGATGTACGTAGTTAACCCATTTTTCCCAGTGTGAAGCAAATTGTTCCAATTTATGATTGACACATGCTGTTACTGTCTCCATTTTGTAAATGTCCATTGTAATTTGTAATTCATTTAAAGTAAGGCTCTCCTGTAATTGCCATTTTCTGGTATGAGTCTCTTTAGCAGCCTCCAGCAGTACATTATTAAATATTTATCTCTTTTCTCTTTAAATTTTCAAAGGTGTGCAATCAGTGAACTAGAATATAAGATACCCCCCATCAAAACATTTGTTGCTTGAAGGGCGGCCCAGGGGAGAGGAATGTGAAAGACGTCAGGTGGCTCGGGTCACAACAAGTAATCATCAGTGCCCAGTGCAACAGTTAAAATCATAGTGCAGTTGTATGTAACAATTATAGCCAGCTAAAGAGTGTACAATAGAGGCGGAAATATGAATCACTTTGCAGAATTGAATTGTTTGAACATTTTCGGGAAGAGCTCGGAAGGAAGGAACTAAAAGAAACATCCACCCATCAACCCTGAGCTGCTGCAGGAAACACTGATATTGCCCTTAGTTGAGTCACTGCTGTGACCTGTCAGCTGTTATCAGAGCCAAAGAGCGGTCCAATGTGGAACTGAATGGGGACCAATATAATTAAGGTCACTAAAAATAGTGAAACATTAGCCGACTAAAGAAGTAATTTCACAGAAAATGAATTAATCAGTTACCAAACAAGCTTTGTAATTGATTATTTATTTTACTAATTTATAAAAGAAAAACACTAAACATTTGCTGGTTGCAGCAACTTGAATGTGAACATGTCAAATTTCTTATTAGTGTTAACTGAACCCACTTAAGCAATTTTAAGACATCAGTTTAGGCAGCTAATGTCGACATTTAGGATTATTTTTGGACATCATACAGACTAAAAATTAGTAAATGAGATAATCAATACATACATACATATAAAATGACAATTACTGTTAGCTGTAACTGTAGTTGTTATTCAACTCTTGCATGCAGTTGAATAGTTTATCACCACCCTGCAAAAGTTGATGGTATTTCGCTACACCAGCATGATATATTTTTACTACATCTTTAGTAGTCGCACCAAAAATCATGTCCGCCATCTCCCAATCAGTGTGATTGTCTGTTACCCTGTGCTTTTGATGCAGATTAAATCGTGATGGAGGATAATGTAGGCTTAGCAGAGGTGTGTGTGTGTGCTCAAAGAGCTTTTTAGTTTAGTATTTACTAAAACATGATAAATGAAACACTGCAAATTACCCAGAGGTAATTATTTCAAATACATGGGGTGGAGACTCACAGCTGGGTGTCTGTCTCTCTCTCTGTGCATATGTGTGCACATGCCACACATGTCTCTGCTCACCCTGAGCAAAGATGAAAGAGTCTGTGTTGATTACACATGATTATACACCTGGACTATCAAGAAAGATTAACCCTATTTCTTATTTGTTCTCCCTGCACGGCGCAGGAGAGGAAACCAGCCACATGGAGAGAGCTCTGCATCTACAGCACGCTGTCTTTGCTCCGGCTCTGATTATCATCTCTGCTGATTAGATTGCCCGCAGTCACACTCAGACAAACCAGGCCTTGTGGTTGCTGACAAAATGGCCTGATTTTGTGCTATTCATCTACCATTTTAGCATGATCTGGTTCCTCAGCTGTGTCATAATGTGGAGGCATGGGGGCTCACTGTGTAAAGTATATGTGTGTAACAGTCATTCATTGAGAGAGAGCACGAGGTTGCTTGACTGCTGAAACAGTGAGCAGACTCTGGAAAAGGTCATGTTTTATCATCTCTGATGTTTGAGGGTTTGTTGTGTGTGTGCGTGTGTGAGAGTTAATATCGATACCTCTCTCATATCTGTCTGTTCAATATAAGGCCACAGCCACTATCCAGTTAGCTTAGCTTAGCATAAAGGCTGGAAATCTCCCTAAAAACAACATTTTTTTCTGTGGTGATGGTTGTCGTGCAAATGAAATAAACCATCACTTTTTAGCCAGCAGGTGCAGTCTAGTTTGTTTTCCCCTGTCTCAAGTCTTCATGCTAAGCTAAGCTAACCAACTGCTGCTTGTACCTTCACATTTACCATAGAGACCAATCTTCTTGTCTGAATCAAAGCTAATAACAATATTTGCCAAAATGTCAACCTATTTCTTTATCTGAAATGGGAGTCACTTATTCGCTGTGAGATGTTCATAATAGGACTCTTTTTAATGAACCTGGCAGGTGACTCTAAATCTTTTCTCTTCCTCTTCTCCACCTCTTTCTTCCCACTCTCTACATTAAGCCCTAGAGGGCAAGTGTTTCCTCTCTCTGCTCATCCTTTCACTTCATTATCTCCTCCCTCAGTCACCAAGGACACAGCACCAGCCCTCACCCCTTTCCTCCTCCAGCAACAACAAGGCTCCCAGGTGGAGCATTATGTGTTGCTATCTGCCTCCCACCCTTCCCCACTTCATGTTCTGTGTCCCCACTCTTCTCCTCTGCTCCTTCTCTCCGTCCCACACTCGTTACAGGACGCCCTCTGCTTTTTAAAACCTCCAACTTATAATGAATGCTAAAAGACCACTGGGACTAAGAGATCTGTGAGGTTGGAGCTGAAATGATTCGTCAATTAACTGATTAGTCGATTAACAGAAAATAAATCTGTGATTATTATAATCATTTAATCATTCAAGTAATTTTTTCATGCAAAAATACTTAACATTCTCTGCTTCCATCTTTCCCAGTGTGAAGATTTGCTGCCTTACTCTGTTTTATAGTATTGTAAACATGATAATGTCTCTGATTCCAGCCTCTCACATGTTAAGATATTAAGATGTTTTTGCACTGTTGGTCAGACATATTTCACATTTCATAGAGTAAATGATTAATTGATTATTCAGAAAAATAAACAACAGATTAACTGATAATGAAAATAATTAGTCAGAACCCTTTGTGAGATTATTATTGCTGGTGTTTCCCCTCTAAGCAATGACACTAATCAAACTACTGAATCTGAAGACTCCAGTGACTCAAACCCTACATAATCAAATGCAAAACATTCACAATATGACTTGATACACTTAACGAGGGATGGAGCTCATCGTTGCAAAGGGTTAAGGTCAATTATTCCTATTGGGATACTTAAAAAAACATAATTTAAGTCAAGAAATAGAAAGATTTAAAGTCATTCCTTACCTCCAGAATATCTTTGGCACAACTGTTATGTTGGCTTCTTGTTACCTGTGCAAACAGACGTGTAGAGTAAATGAGGACAAAGTCACAGGAAGTTAAGACTGACAGCTAATCAGAGGGAGTTTGTAACCCTTCAGAGCAACAGATTGCTTCATTTATCAACTAGGCAAGCAGCTGGAAAAGAGTTATTGCTGAGTGAGCACACAAACCATATTTGAGCATCAAAATTACAGCAAAGTTGGTACAGTTCGTAGCTCATTTGAAATTCAGATTTAGTACACGATTAAACGCGTTCAGCAGCAAACATAGCTGTGCACGTACAAAGTACATAAACTCATTCATTTCTTTCATTAGCCTTTGCTCAAGATATGAACTTTCATGTTTCAGTCTACATCACAAAGACAGATACACATAAGTACACACACACACAAAAATATCACCTTCTGCACTCTGCTTCCCGCCATTTTTTGTCCTAACATTCACACTGCAGTGTAGCCCTGTACTGTCAACCTCACCGTCTCACACACACAAACAGTAATTGTGAGAGTTGAGGGGACGTTGATGACTCATATCTCAGAAATCACAGCTGCAGATGATCAGACGGATGCTGATACTGTTGCAAGCAACTTTCTGTTTCCATCCACATTAAGCAACCCTGTTCTCTCTCTCTCACTATCTTTTGCCCTCCCCCATGTTTCTCTCCTTTTCACAATTCAGCTCACAATTCAAATTCATTGCAATGGCATGGTTTCCATGCCATTGCAATGAATTTGAACCATTGCAATAACCGGCAATAACTGTGCTCCTCAATCATTCATTCAGGGGTTTGATTCTTGGTGATTCGCTTCTTAACCTCTATGCACCACTCTTGCCATTGATGCCATCTGTGCAGCATGAGTATGCACAGTCGAAAATGTTTGTAGTGCAGCGTGCATTCATGTGTGTGTGTGTGAAACTGCCTCTTCTTGCATGCATGACTCACTAAGGTCAGTGTCTGAGTGGCTGGACTTTAAGCCTGCAGATGGAAACTCTATGTGTGAAAATTATCACAGCCACAAGGCGGTTATGAGGCCCTTGGCACTAAATGAAAAACATAAACACAGACAGTATTTTAGCACCCTGTGGTGGTGCACAGGCAAAAGTCAGGCCGGCTTACCCAGTTTACACTTACAGGCCCATTAGTAAGAATATTACCATGTACAATGTGTTTCACACGTCCATACCCACTAGCAGCCCTGGTGCAATACCCAGATGAATGAAATCCCGCAGGGCCAAACAAACCACAACCCATCATAACACCTGCAACAAGCAGCATGCAAGCCAACTGCACGACCAACCACCTGCTGCATTCTTAAAGTATCTGCAATTACTGAAGTTATGCTCATTTTCAGTTTATATTTAGCATTTCCGTCTGTGCTGGGTGCTTTTAAAGAAAATCTTTTAATCTGCAAACTGAAACTTTATGAAGATCAGAGCACAAGTATTGAGTTAAAAGAAGGGTAATTATTTACAAATAACCTGAAGCTACTCTATGTATAAATTGATGCCTTTACATATGCACTAGTACGGTGCAAGAAAAGCACCGAAAGACGAACTGGTGGCACTGACCCATCTAACTGTGCCGTACACAAAAATAATCACAACTTTCCATTCTTTTTACTCCATACACCCTCTCACCTGAGAATATGCGCATCGGAGCAGAAAACAGACAATGGAAAGTTTTCCTTTGCCACCGAGGACAGTAGGCATGGTTCCTGGATGGTCAATGCTTTCCTCCGGTGTCCATACCAGTGAGGACTCGAGTTACGCGCGGCGGATGCGGTGTCTGGCGCTGACGGACCGAGCGGCTCCTCACTCGTGGCTCCGCCGCGAAGCTGCTGGGGAGTCTCCGTGTCACTGAGGGAGACAGAGGGCGATGTAGGCGGTTTCTCGATAACGTCAGAGATGACACACACGCAGCTCACGTAGGGAGATCACGACTCAGAGTGGTACTGTGACTGTACAATATACTCAGTGGGCTACTGCTTATTTTTGAAATGCGCAATTTGGATGTCACACAGCCGTGGCTGCTAAACACACCGGAGGCATGACTGTGATGTATTAAGTTTATGACATCCAGTCCAACCCACAGGGGCGTACCTATGAATTATGGGGCCCTAAACCAGTAGTAATTGATTTTATTGGCCACTTGGGGGCAGTGCAACAATCTGTAAATCAAAAAGTTGCCTATTTATACATGTAGGAGACAGTGAGCAACATTAACATTCATTAAGGGTCATGGTTTTGGTCATGCAATGTATCTAAGCTCGGTTTTTTTCTCTCCCTCTTGTTTTCTTTATTTTGGTCTAAATAACTCCTGAGGGAAACATCTGGTTCTTTAGCTGTGTAATTGTCCACAGTGTTCAGCAGCTACCAGCAGCTAACTTTGTCCATCTGCTGTTTGCTCATGGAGAGTTTTTAGAGCTTTAACTGAAAACTGTTACTTTCTGTTTCTGCAAATGAAGTTGATTGGAGCTGTGAGTGTAAGAAAACAAACAGTAAGTAAAACCAAAATAATCAGATGAAAGATGCTAAACTGCTCCGTAGAGTTAGAGCTGCGGAGATAATTTTGTGTGACGTTTCACATGTAACGCAGCCATTGTTAATTAAACACTGAACTGCATCTTCAGAAAATGATTACCTTTTCATTTGGGTTTATTACCTATACTATGAATCAGCTATCATTATTTCTATGCAAAAAAGCCATACCTTATTCTAGCATAAGGCAATATTTACAACTTCAACTTTTTATGGAAAAATGTTTTACATCGAGGTTTACTATTGAGTCGTTGTTTTTGAAAATGTTAAACACCCACTTGGGCTTATAAGACACTACGTTACACATCACATATACTGCATACTCTATGGTTTTGTGTCAATATGTAAACATATCAAATATAAACTTAAAAAAGCAAACATGCAGGGCTTTCATATGTTCATGGGAAGCCAAGTCAAACATCTCGTACACTTTATTACAAATATATCCCAGAGTCATAACAGGACTTTTGTACACAGCTAGGTGAAGTTTGATTGCCCAGCCTAGCTAGATCTGCTCTGTTACACTAACTGGGTTTTTGTGTGCTCATATATGTTTAGTTTTGTGTTTCCAAGGTCAAGGATTAGTTTTTGAGTTGACAAAGATGAGAAGTCCCAAAGGTACTCAGGGTCGTGCAAAGTTTGGTCATCTGTGTACAGTTTCACGGTAACTGAGAAAACTCAGTCTGCTCATGAGGACAATATGATGCTCTACAACAGTTGGGTAAGTGGACCCTGAGTTGAGTTTTAACGAGAATAGGTTTGTTAAATTTATTTGTCTTGCTCTTGTACTTTCCCCCCTCTGCTAGATGAATGTCTCAGGCGAATATATTGTTTATAGCCTTCTAACATTAAACAGCTTTGTGACTGGATGTATACTATGAATCAGTAACGAGGTTAACATTGTTGGCTCTGGCTGGAGGCTACATCCCACTTAAGTTACAGAAAATGTATGTCTGGTCATGTCTACTTCCTCCATCTTGGCATTGTGTGCTTGTCTCGTCCATCCATCATTCTGCTTAATGCATTCTGGCCTGTGAAGTGGCTCTGGGTTGCATGGGGTTTGCCTTGTCATAATAAAATATGAGCTGGCTCAGAAGGCTCATGGGGAAGGCTGAGAGAAGAGAGAGAGAAGGACACAAGAAGCTTGATATATTAGAGCACCGACTGCATTAATATTTGGAGCCATGTGGGTGACGCCATGTTCCTTACAAACACTTAGTTCCCTTTAAACCAGCAGCATATTCTTTACAGAGAAAATTGATTGAATCTGGAATTTGGTTTTGGCTGCACACCCCTGACCCTACGGTGCCCCTTGTTTGTATATGGCACCTGTCAAAGACTGAACACAGGGGCAGCCCCAAGCATCTGTGTGACACTGAGGTTTGCCTGTGTGCGTAGCGCGTAGTCCAGATGTAGAAACTCATTTAGTCTGCGAGGTGTTGAACACATGAAAAACATTAGCTACGGAGAAAAAAGAAGGACTTGGTGTTGGTTTTCATGATGAGAAATAATGTCGGTAACACTTGCCCCTGCACTCACTAGAAAGATAGAAACTCTGTCATATTTTTTCCTTTAGATTTTTGACATTGTGTCAATACATGGCCCTAAAAAAGAGAAGTTCTTGCTGGGTACGGCTTTGTCATTGGACGGTGACAAACATGAAATTCTTATAGACACTGGAATGAGTTAGTTGATAAGGTGGTTGGTTAGTCAGTTAGAAATGTATTATTTTCAGTTGCACCACACGTCACTAAACAGCATACAAAAACAATACATGGCATTGGAAATAGCAGGAACACAGCATCAACAAACAACATGATAGAAAAAACAAATAACTTGTTGCCAATCACAGTTTTGTGCATTATGATGAATCTTTAGAGCAGTTCATGAAATAGTGATTTAAAAAAATCAATAACTGTTGTTTCAGTGAACAAGCTCTTGGTGAGGAGACGTGGAGAGAGACAAAGGTTATTGTTTTGAGATGTGTCAGTACAATTTGAATATTATGCATGACTGATAGTGTGAGAAGGAGCACTTCCTTATTTGTACTGGCCTATATGCTTGTGTATTCAGTCCTTCAGGTCCTGGTCTGTAAGATCAGTGTAAGCACCGATTCCAGTGGCAAAAAATGTAGAGTTTTAATGATTAGTCAATTACTCGATCAATGGAAAATGAATTGGCAACTATTTAGATAAATAAATAAAAGTTTCCAAGACATTTGAAAACCTTGGGCTCTTGGAAATTACAATGGGCATTATCACAATTTTTTGACATTTCATAGACAAACCAATTCATTTAATAATTTAGAAAATGATTGATTAATCGCAAACTGCAAAAAAAAAAAAAAATCATTAGTTGCTACTCTAAAAAAAAAAAAAAAGCCCTTCTCTGAACCACGCGCGCTGGTGTGTTCTATTTCAAAACAGAACATAATAGACATCATACAGACTTTGTAGCAGAACAGTTGTATTGAATTGCATTAGATTGTACAGATGTACCTTAGACAGAGGCCGCTGAATATATTTGGTTGGATATCTGCTCTTACATCTGGACCAGCTTTACTCACAGCATTTGGTCTTGATATTACAGAAACTCTCAATCTCCCTCTGAAGCTTTGTTTCCCTATGCACGCTACACAAACCTAAGAAGCAAAGCACACAGAGAAACAACTGTGTTTTCCTGTGGAACAGAGTGGAAATGTAGGGATGAACTGGGAATGGAGGGATATGAAATGCCTGGGGCCAGTCCCCACAGCCACACAGAATAGCACCCATGGTTACAGACTCATGGCGACAAGACCTCCAAGGCACCACGGCGTCCCTCGATGCAGTCTGTTTAGAACACGGCTGGCCTCAAGAGTCAGCCTTCCTGACAACACACACACACACACACACACACACACACACACACACCCTCTGTCACTTTCACACACAGAGGCAAAATTAAGGAGATGGAGATGGAAAGGTGATGGGAGAGAGCGAGTGGGCTTGAGCTACGTTGTCTGCCCCTGCAGCTTGCTTTGGTTGCCATGGAGATCATGTGGGTATTCCAGATTCCTGCAGGTAGTGACAGATGGGTGAACAATTGGTAAGACTGTCCAATAAGGCACCCTTTCTAAAGGCTTTATAAGCTGTAATGATGGCTTTATTAATAGTTAATGGCTCTGCTGCTGCTTCATATATACAGTTATAAGCTTTTAATTGATAAGAACAATTTCAGGTTGCCCGGTTGTGAAAGCTCCCTCCAGCTGGTGCAAAAAAATGATTGGTAAACCATTTATAAATACTCACGCATCTAATAAGCCAACACATCTGTGGTTATAAATGTTAATGAAGTCATTAATGATAAAGCTTTTTCACTTTCTAATAAACCCACAGTAAACGTTAGTGAGTTATCTGGAATTTTAAATGTTAAGAAGTCATTGCTGAAGAATTTTCACGCCAATCGAAGTGTTAATAAGTTGTTGTAAATGTATTTTGGTCCTGGTGTTTCTCAGGCCTTTTCCCAGAATATAAGTAGATATCTACAGGAGAGGTCATTCTGATAAACCTACAAAGACCTGCTTAAGGAATATATAGGTGAGGTGAGGTGTAGAGGTTATTAACAGGAGATAACGGACTTGTTGCTAATTTTGCAGTCTGTGTACAGCCATAGGCCACCTAGAGGTGCTTAATGACAGCATCCATGTAACACTGGATGTTTACGTTATGAGATCATTATATACAGTGTGCAGAGAGCTCCACCCTGTGGACAAAGGGAGAAGTGAAGATGTATTCCTCTAAACTGCTACTTCCTCCATGACTGTGATATGTATCTTAAATTTTCTGTTTTCCCTTTTGCCTCAGGACAAACGCAATGAGAGGGCTGGATAATGTATTCTTGTTTGACAACACGTTCTTAACACTTTCTCGCGCACACAAACACACACACATTCACACACTGTGACTATTTCATAACAGAAGACAGGCTATGTGGATGTGATGTGATTAATCTGCTATTTTTTTGATAAAATATCTTGACAAAAAGTCAGAAAACAGTAAAATAATAATGCACAGTGTTCCTAAGGTCAAGATGACATACAACCAACAGTCCAAAAGCCAAATATATTCAATTTACTGTCATATAAATCAAAGAAAAGCAGTTAAGATTCAGATTTCAGAATGGGACCAACA